GGAAATAATTGTCTTTTCTTTTTTATTAATGTAAATTGATGAGAAATAGGGTTTAAGGATAGAATAGTTCTTGATATAACTTAATTTTATTGCTGAAAATATACTTTTTAAATATATAATCAATTAGAGCAATGTTTTTACATATGTTATGATAAAGGTCTTATTATAGTAACCTCTATGTATCACTGAAGATATTTTATATGAGTTTGATAAAGTGTGTACAGTATGCAATTTTTTTATTAATGTCTAGTTCCATAAGAGTCTATGTACTGCTAATTGGCCTTCTTTTAATTATTGAAAGTAGTCATGACCTAAGAGCAGCATCAGCATCACCCCAGTATTAGCCGAGTTAATCTGAAGAGCTCAGCACCGTCTCATTAACGGGCCACACTTTCCATTGATTTAGGTTCCAGCCTGTCAATAACCCAGTACTTTTGTCTATTCAGACTATTGGTTGCCTTGGTTAGCATAGCATGTGCTTATACAGCAACTCAAAAGCCTGTCTCATTAATTTGCAGCTCAGTGGGATCTGACAGTCTACCCCTTAGGGAATAAAAGAACTCAAGCACCCATTATCTAGAAATTTGTAGGGTTTTACAAATAAGGACAATAAGTGATCTGAGGTTTTAAAATTTAATGTCTGCTGTAGAAAATACACCTACATTAAATTCATTATTCATTTTCTTTCCACAGTTGGAACAAAAGTATATATATTTGATGGAAACTAACCACTGTATATCAGTACATGCATTTCTTAACAAAAATTGTACTCTAGTAGGAGTAGCACTACTTTAACATATATTTTATTTAAAATAAAAGTAAAAAGTATTTATCCAAGAAATTAGTCAGGTAAGAGTGAAAAAGTATTTAGTAAAAAGGCAACTCAATTAATTGCATCATATAATCTTGTTAGGAATCCATTGTGTGTGGGCTGTTTGTTTTTGTGTTCTCTTCCTCGACCACCAGGTGGCGCCCTGTTCTCGTTGGTTCTCCCACACACCTGCGGCTGGTTGTGCTCATTACTGAGGACTCTTAAGCGGTGGACTGCCAATACCTCGTCGCCAGAGTGTTTGCCAGTTTTGGGAAGTCATCCTGCAAACTAGATTTTTGGCCTTCTCCCCCTGGAAGGATTGTTTTGAGCTTCACACTGAGCAGGGGATTAATCTCCACACGACCCGTTCAAGTTCTCCTGGAAATCTAAGTGGTAGTCCACTCCATTACTCCTCAACGAACCAACCAAACCAAAAACCTGTCCGCCCTCCAACGAGCCCCCGAATCTCTGGATAAACCCACACCGACTGGATTCTGGGAAGACAACCTTTATCTGCTAATGTGAGTGCCGTTCATCTCTGATTTTTGCAAGACGTTGTTCAAAGTTCCCACGGACCCTGAACTAACCTCTGAACTTCCCTTCTCACTTCCAGTTCCAGTTCACCAGCTCTCTGAGTTACCCTGGATCAACTATATTGATTATTCCAATAAAGCTGTTAAACTTTTACTCTGGTTCTCTGAGGGGTTTCCTTAAAAACATCATGACACAGCTGATTTATTGTTTAGAAATTCTGCAGTCAAACAGATGTTATGTGAAAGCTATAGTGTTTTAAAGACTAAATTCCAAATAAAGTAAAAAAAAAACAACAAACCACTGCATTTTGTTTTCCAAGTTCCAGGCTTATAGGGTGGCCCAAACAAAAGCCCTGCTGTGGCTTAGAAAACATGCAAACTGAATCGGAAAAAAAACAGGTCCGCCCCTTAGGAATAGAGAGTCGTTGAGAGAGTTGTTGGCCTCCAAAACCCGATACTGGCCCATGCCTCTGAAAAAGGAGTCATTAGGGTCGTAGTTGGCCTGGCTATACAGATGAGATGTTTTGGTTCCCTGCATCATGATGAGTATTTAGATGATAGCGGGAAGGAATCAATTTTATCGCTGCGTTGTAGGTTTTTGAGAACTGAACCTGAGTTCTCCCCCTCTGTTTAATTTAGTTTTTATGCTCTTAAAGGAATAGTACACCCAAAACATGATTAGCCTTCATTTTCTACTCACCCCCATGCTGAACAACACTCTGGAGTACTTTTTTGATATCTCAAATGCATCTGGAGATCTGGGAGGCTTCTTGCTGTCTGCTGACATTCAAATAATGGAGGTCTATGGTGCCCGAGACAGAAAGGTCCATAAAAGTCCACAAAAAACGTGTCAATATTCCTCCATACTGCTCGTCCAATGTAATCCAAGTGTCCTGAGTGGGTAGCGTCCATAATTTACTCGAAACAAAGTCATTTAGAATGTTTTTAGAGCATAAACAGTAGTGTATAGGATTTCCTGAAAGCACGCGCCTGCGAGTTCACGACTCTACGGAAACCTCGGCAGACCAAACCAGATGAAAGTGCGCATTGAGCGTCTGCTCTGCCGATAATGCAAGCGTAGAAGAAGAAATGTGCTGTTTACCTGTGCAAAGAAAGAAACAACGAAAGAAAAATGTCTGAGGACTTCAGTGTTGAGGAAGAGCATGAGTTCTTTGCCGAGCTGAATGCGCACTTTCATCTGGTTTGGTCTGCCGCGGTTTCCGTAGACTCGTGAACTCGCAGGCGCGCGCTTTCAGGAAATCCTATACACTACTGTTTATGCTCTAAAAACATTCTAAATGACTTCATTTCGAATAAATTATGGACGCTACCCACTCAGGACACTTGGAATACATTGGACGAGCAGTATGGAGGAATATTGACACGTTTTTTGTGGACTTTTATGGACCTTTCTGCCTCGGGCGCCATAGACCTCCATTATTTGAATGTCAGCAGACAGCAAGAAGCCTCCCAGATCTCCAGATGCATTTGAGATATCAAAAAAGTACTCCAGAGTGTTGTTCAGCATGGGGGTGAGTAGAAAATGAAGGCTAATCATGTTTTGGGTGTACTATTCCTCATCTTAAAGACTAAAAGAAATTAAAATGGTGCAAATAAATTACAATATTACAAAAATGAAAATTCCCGACGAATAAAAAAAAATTCCACTCCTTGGAATGAGGTTTACACATCTGTTAGAAGGTAAGGAATTTCCACTACCAATATTTGTCGTTCATTGTGTTTTACCTGATCTTTGTTCAGCTTAAGTTACAGTGGAACCTTTACAAGAGTAGCAGTAGCAAAAAACTTTTCCTCTAACTGATAATCAGGTAAATGTAACTGAGTAGATGTAGATAATTACTACCCGCCCCTGTCAAACTTACTGTTTTTATTAATTAAGCAATTAAACCCCTGTTTTTAAGTTCATTATCAAATGCATTTCTTCCAGTTAAATATAGAACCTTGTAGCATCTGTACGGCTTTAAGACTCCAAAGGTTTATCAATCTGTGACATGCAAACAAGGACCTAAAAAAGAAAAAGTTTGTTCATGTATGTGTATATAAAGGCATTTTCTACAATCGTATTTCAATTTAGATTAGATTTTTCTTATACTTTAAGAAGAGAATTTATATTTTAAATGAACTTGTAACATTCACAACTATTTCCATCAATAATAAGGTGTAACAGACCCAAATATAGCAGGTATATAGCCATACTAAACAAATCTATTATCAAAGGGACTTTGATAAATAAATAAATAAATGGTTTATGTTTCTCTGTTTTGATTTTGCATAAATGGTCGTTCTACTGGTGTATCTCTGTTTATAAATCCAATATTGGCATTATTTCAAGATCTCCACACAAAAGTATGCCGTGAATTTGATCCACGCAGATGCTATTTATGCAGTGCAGAGTGTGTTAGTTACAATAATAATAATAACAATAATAACAATACGCAATCTGACCTGGTGGAATATTTTGGCTGTGTAAACTTCCTGGACAAACAGCGAGGGAAGTGTCAGACAGGATTGCCATTTGCTCCCCCGAGACTGTTTTTACACCTCCTTCTAAATAAGGACGCAGGCTGCCAGGACATATGACCACCGTCCCAATTTGGGCCCTGGACACAGTATCCATCCATCTATCATATGCCTGCTCTATGCCAATAAAAGCCAAAGTCTCCCTCCCTCTCTCTGTCTCTCTATGGGTTACACACAAACACTCACACACACTGAAGGTTTCCCATGTGAGGAAAATCTCCATCAAGTTAGCCTTGTTATACCGAGGAAGACTAAAAAGACAGGTTAGTTCCAATTCAAAATAAAATCACAGATTTAAACAACAATTTTAATGATAAGTTAAAGTCTTCACTAGATATTAATTTTCGAATGGCAAAATATCAGTTTAATATTTCAGCAATGTTTGGGCCTCAGCCAGCTTGCTTGCAGTGTTTCTGTTTAGAACAGATATAGAACTTCAGATTTCCAGGTATGGGACTTTTACAAGCAGTTTTCAAACGTTTTTAAAAAACCTTTAAAATAAAAACAATGCAGCAGTGTTCTATTTTAGAAAACTAGCTTAATCCAGCCTACCATGACAGCCCTGACAATTAATGTTGTCACAGAAGGTGCTTGTTTCGTAAATTTTATGGTTTAGAAAAGTGTTTCTTTCGTTCTGGGATTGTTATATATTATATATTTTTTATTATAGTTCATAAAATACTAGAATTTCCTCATATCTTGAGGAAATTAAGACTTTTTACTCTCTTGGAGTAATTTTTTGGATTGCTACTTTTTATTCTTCCTTATGTAAAAGTATGATAAAATTGTGTTTTTATACTCAAGTACAATTTTTGAGTATTTTGAGTTTAGTAATTTTTTTCACATAGAGCCAGGTTGGTTTTAGTATCTTAAATATTGTTTATTATTATTATTATTTATTCAGGTTCTTCCTGTTTGCTTTTTAAATTTGATTGTTCACCTGAAACTGTAAAAACAGTAGCTAAAACAGTAGAACTATGTATAAGGGTTTTTTTTGTTTAGATGCCTGATTTGGTATTTGCATAGTCATTGATGTAATGTTTTATTTTGAAAAGCTTTTAAAGGAAACTCTTGCTTTAAGTCCATCTTACTTTCCTGAGGCTGGTGTGAAGGTGCAGTCCCCCCCATCAGTGGTATCAGACCTGCTGGTGCTGCTGGGGTCCACAGGCTCTCTCCTCCTCCCTCTCCCCTCTTGTAATGGGGGGCTGCGTGCAGCGGTGAAGTCACAGTGATGTCATTTGAGGAGGTGAGGGAGTAGGGGGCAAGGTGAGCTGGTCTTGCAGTGAGTGGTGCCGCCCCCTCCACGGCAAGCGTTGTCTGTACAGAGGCGTGGAGCGGCGAAAGATGGTCATCGCCACCGGCACCAATCCAAGTTGCGACGCCTTCTGTTCTCCACTTGTTCAGATCTCGGGCCATGGGGCCCTGATCTACATTGACCCAAAAACTCTAACCCTTCACAGCCAATATGCCAGAGGACAGAAGATAAGAAGAGTTGCTTTTTCAGGGCAGGTAACTTTAACCAGGTGCCCCAAAGGTAAACTGGATGGCCTTTGCGCAAAGGTGTCACTACAGCATGCGCAGCGGGGCCAGGACGCACTGGACTTTGCCAGCAGTTATTGTTTTGTGGACTTCTCTGTGGGCAATCGCTTCCTCTTTTCCGATCCCACACAGGACTAATGCTACTTTGTTAGAAAGGAAGTGGGAGACCCTTTTCTCCCGCTCCTACCTGGGTATAAATGGGGACAGATCGCAGCTGAACTGGCAGAGCGACTACTTGCAGGGCATCAAAAGAGTGCGGCGGCTGTACTGCAACGTGGGCATTGGGTTTCACCTGCAGGTGCTCCCTGATGGCAGGATAAGCGGTGTGCACAGTGAGAACCCATACAGTGAGTTGCATCCTGCAAAAAAATAAAAATAAAAATGCATTGGAATCCAAAGAGAGTGTATCTTTAAAAGTTAGATCCGGTCCTGCATGATATTTAAGTAGCGCAGCATGGGTTGAAAGTTTCCAAAGGCAAACACAGTGTACCGAGCCGTGCAACGGTGCATCCAAAAACACGACACGAATGCATGACGCGGACTTATTTTTACCCTGATGTGGGGCACTCATATTCCTCCCAGCGCGCTGTAAACCAACCACAATGTCTAACATGCAGATAGCTGATTGCTGCACACATAACGGAGCATCATCCAAGTCGCAGTGCACCTGCAAGGCTACACCCATCACTGCTGCATAGGCCACTGAAACTTGTCCCAAACCGCAGCGTCGCACTGACTCTGCCTCTCTGTCACATTATGTCTCATTCAGGTCTGATAGAGATCTCCACCGTGGACCGAGGAGTGATCAGTCTGTTCGGGGTGAGGAGTCAGCTGTTTGTCGCAATGAACAGCAGAGGAAGGTTGTACGGAACGGTAGGTTACAGTGGCGCAACTCTGGAGTTCAACAGAGCTGTTGCTACATCCACTGCTTTATGAGGGCTGCTGTGTTATTAATATACCCTGATGAGAGGAGGGGGACAGGTCACAGCTCTTTACAGCCTCTGCTACAAATATCTCATTTAATAATTATTGTATTACTTAATTTAACTATCACATGGTATGTTTATAGATATTTAATTGAACTGGTGTGGTATGTTTGTTGTCACAAATCAACTTGAAATATAAAGCTTGGAGTATAATATCATAGCCACAGTCACAACCTAACTTTTTTTTTGTACTTTTATTTTGCTTTTGCATAAAATATATATAACACTTGGACATTTTACCAAGTTATTTTAAATATTTATTAAAAAAAGGCAAAAGTTTGACTTGGGGGGAATTAGCCTGCTGCTTTAAAAATGTTAAATAAATGCGATAAAGCTTATAAAAGTGAATCAAACTCTAATCTCTTCATTCATATGTTTGGATCGTTTGTAATGTTTACAAAAGTTGATTGCTGCAAATTAAGTTTAATACTATATATCTTAGAAAAACAAATGGACTAATCTTCAACTGAGTGACATACTGTAGTCATCAATATCACATTGTTAGATATTTAAAAATAACATTTATTATTAAAAGGGCTATAAATCACAGCTATTTTACATATGTGTGATGAATTAAGCTATTAAATCAGTGTAGCTTCAATATTGACATTGGGCGAGTGGATTATTGACTCTTTTACCATTCAGCCTTTAAGAAAATGCACCAGCAAACTTCTTATTCATGGTTTTAATTTTCTGGAATGAAAATAAATCTACATGGGTATATATTTAGGGAATGGTTAACAACAAGATATTTTCAAATAAAAAACATCAGATTAAAAGTTTAGCATTTTTGCATTAGTTGGTTAATTGTTTTTAATATAACAGATACTAGATGAGGGTTTTTGTACATCTACATTGTTAAAGGAAAATTCCGGTTTTTAACACTTTTAGCCCATTTTCTGTAGTGTCCAGGATGAAATCGAATGATCGACACCAAAATTTTGACGATTGGTCCTGTCTCTGCTATTTGGCTCATGCAGAATCCCCCCCTGGCTGCTTCAGAATGGCTTCCATAGTGCATATCCAATAATGTCCTTAAAACAACCTTAAACGTTCTTTTTTTAAAATATGCTACACACCGGGGTCGTCAGCGCTGTTCAATGACGTTCCAAAAAAAGTTTCGTGAAGAAAAACCGTTCCTGTCTTGTTTTATTTAGCATTTTGTAAATCCCAGGACTATTTTTTCCGATACATCACAACCGCTTATAAACTTCCGCTTCCCATTCCAATCTGAAGCGTTGCACACTCCAGACCACTAGTTGGCGACGGTATCCTCTACCGTCAAACTCAAAGTCCAATATGTCCTCCTCAAGAATCCACCTTTCGTATTCCATTTTCAGAGTTTTTTAAAGATTTTAACAGAGATGTTAGCACCTCGACGTCGGAGTACACAGAGTGAAGCAGAAACACTTGGGCCTTGCGAAAAGATTATAACTAAGCGTAAACAGGCCCCATTTCCTATTTCCGGTGGCGGAGGGATATTGACTATTCCAACAGAACTCAATGGGATTTACAAACTGCTAAATAAAACACTACAGGAACGTTTTTTCTTTACGAAACTTTTTTTGGAACGTCATTGAACAGCGCTGACAACCCGGTGAGTAGCATATTTTAAAAAAAGAACGTTTAAGGTTGTTTTAAGGACATTATCGGACATGCACAATGGAAGCCATTCTGAAGCAGCCGGGGGGGATTCTGCATGAGCCAAAAAGCAGAACAGGACCAATTGTCAAAATTTTGGTGTCGATCATTGGATTTCATCCTGGACACTACAGAAAATGGGCTAAAAGTGTTAAAAACCGGAATTTTCCTTTAAGGTCTTAAAAGCGTCTATAGTAAAATAGCCACAGCGTTTCTGATCATCCTTGGAAAAGTAAACAGTGAACCAGATTTTATGCAATATAGCAACATGAAGCAACAATGCCACATACAGGGTAGGGAAAAATGCTGCAGGGTTTCTGAAATTGTTCCAAATGGAGAATCTGAAATGTTGTGTACTTGTATTTGTGGAACAAGTTATTGTAATTCTAGCTGCAGGTCCTTTGGGTAAGGTCTCAACCATCTTTCTAACTAGAAACAGAAATGCTTGGTGATTCCTTTCAGTCAGATTGGAGATCATTTCTGAACTTATCAAAGATTCTAGTCGGTCTGGTCTTGGTCATGATCTAACCATCGCCCTTTAACTGCTTTAATGTTATGGGCCATATTTTTGTGGCTAGATTAACCTCCTCCTTAATCTGAGTTTGTTTTTCAATCCCACCTCTTTCAAGAATAGCCTTAATTTCAGCTCTATACATCTTCTGCTGTAACATCACACACCATGATGCTGCCACCACCGTGTTTTACTGAGGGGTAGTATTCTCAGGTTTGTGTGTGATATAATATAGGGGTGTTGTACTAAAGGAGGCTAAATAAAATCACAAACTATGCTTTTCAGAATCGTATTCAGAAATGTTGCCCTGCTATCTGCTTATTAGATGAAATCTCCTTAAAATTGTCAAGTGGGGGGGAGGTTTGACAGGAGGACCCAAATGTAGACTGAAACTGAAGGAGTTTACTTGTATATTTATTAACGAAAACATTCAACAGAGGCAAAAATCCAAAACATACAGGTGCTGGTCATAAAATTAGAATATCATGAAAAAGTAGATTGATTTCAGTAATTCCATTTAAAAAGTGAAACTTGTATATTATATTCATACATTACATACAAACTCATATATTTCAGATGTTTATTTTGTTTAATTTTGATGATTACAAATGACAACAAATGAAAATCTCAAATTCATCATATCAGAAAATTAGAATATTACTGAAGACCAATAAAAACAAAGGATTTATAGAAATGTTGGCCAACTGAAAAGTATGAACATGAAAAGTATGAGCATGTACAGCACTCAGTATTTAGTTGGGCCTCCTTTGGCCTGTATTACTGCAGCAATGCGGCGTGGCATGGAGTCGATCAGTCTGTGGCACTGCTCAGGTGTTATGATAGCCCAGGTTGCTCTAATAGTGGCTTTTAGCTCTTCTGAATTGTTGGGTCTGGTGTATTGCATCTTCTTCTTCACAATACCCCATAGATTTTCTATGGGGTTAAGGTCAGGAGAGTTTGCTGGCCAATTAAGAACAGGGATACCATTGTCCTTCAACCAGGTACTGGTAGCTTTGGCACTGTGTGCAGGTGCCAAGTCCTGTTGGAAAATGAAATCTGCATCTCCAAAAAGTTGGTCAGCTGCAGGAAGCATGAAGTGCTCTAAAACTTCCTGGTATGTGGCTGCGTTGACCCTGGACCTCAGAAAACACAATGGACCAACACCAGCAGATGACATGGCACCCCAAACCATCACTGACTGTGGAAACTTTACACTGGACTTCAAGCAACGTGGATGAAGTGCCTCTCTTCTTTTCCTCCAGACTCTGGGACCTTGATTTCCAAAGGAAATGCAAAATTTACTTTCATCAGAGAACATGACTTTGGACCACTCACCAGCAGTCCAGTCCTGTTTCTCTTTAGCCCAGGCAAGACGCTTCTGACGCTGTCTGTGGTTCAAGAGTGGCTTGACACAAGGAATGCGACAGCAGAAACCCATGTCTTTCATACGTCTGTGTGTGGTGGTTCTTGAAGCACTCACTCCAGCTGCAGTCCACTCTTTGTGAATCTCCCCCACATTTTTGAATGGGTTTTGTTTCACAATCCTCTCCAGGGTGCGGTTATCTCTCTTGCTTGTACACTTTTTTCGACCACATCTTTTCCTTCCCTTCGCCTCTCTATTAATGTGCTTGGACACTGAGCTCTGTGAACAGCCAGCCTCTTTAGCGATGACCTTTTGTGTCTTGCCCTCCTTGTGCAAGGTGTCGATGGTCGTCTTTTGGACAACTGTCAAGTCAGCAGTCTTCCCCATGATTGTGTAGCCTATAGAACTAGACTGAAAGACCATTTAAAGGCTTTTGCAGGTGGTTTGAGTTAATTAGCTGATTAGAGTGTGGCACCAGGGGCCATCAATTTTGAACCTTTTCACAATATTCTAATTTTCTGATATGATGAATTTGAGATTTTCATTTGTTGTCATTTGTAATCATCAAAATTAAACAAAATAAACATCTGAAATATATGAGTTTGTATGTAATGTATGAATATAATATACAAGTTTCACTTTTTAAATGGAATTACTGAAATCAATCTACTTTTTCATGATATTCTAATTTTATGACCAGCACCTGTAAATCCACAAAATACTTACAAAAGGGGTAAAGAAATGACGACAAACCAGCAACAGGACTGAACAGGTGGAGAACATATGGGAGAGAGAAACAAAGACCAGACTAATTAGCAGATTGGGAGCAGGTGTGAACAGAGGCAGGAAGGGAGTTGGGGAAAGGAGAACGACACAAGAGGGAAATATCTAAGAACTCAAAAACAATCAAAAATAACTACAACACAAAAATGGAAGTAAGACCAATGGAAACTCAGAGTTAAAACTTGAACAGGACCAAAACCGTGACAAAAAAGCTTTTTTTGATTGTAATATGGAAAAAAGGTTAAAGGGATATGAATATTCTTGCAAGGCACTTTAAGCAAATATTATTCTTTTCTTTCAGATTAACAAACAAAAGTAAATGTATCTCCACTGTCAAAAGCTACGTTATTTAAAAAAAGAGTCATATAATGATTGTTGTTTAGTGATTTTCATTTGTACCATTGTTATCTATGGGATTTGTTAGTTCAGGTCGCACCAAATGACCAGGGACAGCCTTATCAGTTCAGATACGAGAGCACGATGAATCCTTATTTCTGAAATGCGTCTCTTTTCCAACAACATTCCACCTCCTCCATGTTTACTTCACAGCACTTTGTCTGAAAAATCTGCTCACTGCAATAAACACCTGAGCCCCATATATATTAAAACCTGTTATTAACATACACATTCTGACACTAAAGCTGATTAAACCTCAGTATATGGTAGGATAAACTCTATAACTTTGGTCAAATGTTTTGGAAATCTTGCCAGTAGGTTCTTAAATCAGTTTGCCAGAATTCAGCCCTTTTCCTTCTAAAGAGAACCTGAGGAGCTGATCATTTGGAGAAGGCACAAGCTGCTTTTTTTCTTGGAAGTGAAATTATTTTTAGTGTCCCCGTCTTAAAAATGACAACCCCCACTGAAGGCGGAATGGAAAAGTCCTAGAGCAATCCAGAAGACGGACCCCAATAGGTCTGAACCAGCAATCTGCCAATTCTTAGAGTTTAAATCGATAAACCAAGTGGCCCACATGGTAGTTTCTTTTGTGTGTAAAAAATAATAATTAGAGATAATTACTTTATTTATTTGTATCATTAATCAGGACCAAAACGGACACAATTTCCAGCTTTGAGCTACAACTTTTTAGACAAATCAAATGCAGCATTTGTTTTTCAAACTTGACTGTTTTTATTTAGCATTTGGAATAATGGCTTCTTCCTCCCAGAGTGGATTTTCAACCCATGCTTGTACAGGCTGTGATTCACTGCAGATAATAAATCTCTGCAAACAGCTTTAAACAGCATCTAGCAAGGTGCTAAGCTGTCGTTTTGAAGTCGATTCAACACATTTCAAATGGAAACTTGTCCAACCTGTCTCCTCTCTAAAAATTGAGACAGCTGGACTTTCCCAAGCTATTTATACTAGTATATAGTTGTCATAGCATCAGGAGATTTTAGCAGACATGTGGGGGTCCACCATTCTCTCTCTAATATGTTGGCTGACTTCTTTTAAAATTTCTGATCTTAAACAAGGATATGCATCTCTGAGGGATTGCCTTTAAATAAATGAACAGATGCGCCTTTTTTGAAATGTTATAAATTAAGAAATAAAAAAAAATTTAATCAGACTTAATATCAGAAAATAATAAAAAAAGCTCCCGCGTTGTGACAGTCGCTGAAACATTTCTTCCTCTCCTCTCTAGAGAGTCTTCAAAGACGAATGCAAGTTCAAGGAGACGTTGCTGCCGAACAACTACAACGCCTACGAGTCTTTTGTTTACAAGGGCTTCTACATCGGCCTGAGCAAGCACGGCCGCGTAAAGAGAGGCAACAAGGCGACCACGGCCATGACTGTCACACATTTCCTCCCGCGACTATGAAGGAAGCTGACTATTTCATAGAAATTTGCACATGCGGATGTTCCTCCAGGTAACATATATGTAGAAATGCAAAGGCCTGACAGACACATCCATGAACTGCGAAGGAAAATACAAATATTTATTCTGTTATACATAAATATTTATGTGTATATTTGGATAGGTGCGTTTGTAAATGTATGCCAAACTGAGCTGCTTATTGTTATTTTTTTTCTGGACAGGGTGAGTCAAAGCCTTTTTTCCCTGTTCCACCACATTGGTGCTTGCTGTAACTGAACTACACACCACTTACTTTTCTGTGATGGAGGATGAGCTATATGCTGTGCTTTTAAGAGTGAAATTAATACTTTTTATTACCTCAACGAACCACTTCACTAGATGAAGGAATGCATGGACTTCTGCTCAAATGTCTGTTTATCGTTTTATTCAAACCTTTAAATGCTTGATGGTTCACTGCTCAATTATTGATGTCCAGCAGTGGAGAGGAGGAAAATTAAATGCACTACTTTTTTTCCTGCACGATTTAAAGGTGCCTTGGTGTTCCCACTAGCTGGCCCCCGTTAAACTTCTGTGAAAGAGACACCCGGAGGAGTCAGAAATAGGGCTGACACTCCAGAGAGGCCCTCAGAAAGGGGAAAAGGTGGGATCGGCTATCTCTGGTTTATTTTCTTTTCTGTAATTAGATCGATTAAGTAATAAACAATCTGTGGTTGAGACCAGAGAATGGTCAGCCATAGAGACTGGCACAAGGCCGTATGTTTTACTGCGTAGCATATCCAGTAAGCAAACAGGGTGAAAAACCATATGTGCTGCCGCATGGAGAAACTTTTTGGATCGGACCTGGCTTGCTTCTGCACAATTATCGACTGAGTGGACAAAGGACACACAAAAGCTGCTGCACAATGCCTTTGAAAGAGCCCCAGCAGTAGAGTGGGCTGCTGTTTTTGAAATGCAAAGCTTTTAGCTGCTATTAAAAGGATGAAACAAATGGAAAACAATGTAAATAGCTGCAAGTTTGAAAGACGAATTTTTGTTGCACGAAAATACAAAGGCTGCACAAGAAACCAGCAATGATGCTACTTATCCATTCGCTTTCTTTACATTTTCTTTGGGAATTTGGAATATTTTGATGCTCTAGGTGTTTTTTTTTTTTGCAGTCTTTCCATCTTTTCTGCAGTAGCACTGCAGTGGCACATCGGTGAATAGAGCTAGAGCTAAAACAGGTCTAAATGCAATTATAGATTAATCAGTTTTTGTGCATCGAAGACTAAAAGGATAATGCAGATGAAAAAATGGATGCAAAGCTTAAGTTTTACTGCTAATCCTCTACATTAAGGGGGTAAAACGATGGAGGAGTTTAGCTATACTAGCAGCAGTTTGTTCATGTTTTGCAGACTCACAAAATGGGTATTCTTGTTCAGTATTCCAAAGATATTTTTCTTGCCTCGTTCTCTGAATTCCCAAGACTCCTCTAGAGGGGATCTACTTGTAGTTCCTGCAGCTGTTACCTGCTTCATTCCTGTGCGACAGGAAGCAGGACTATTTAAACCCAGGAAAGACGTGTGTGTGTGTGCATGGAGTCCGCACGCTGTCTTTGTTTGTCAAACCACCGCCTCCTCTGCGGGAATGTGGCTCTGTCAGGATGACAGGGACGCTTCCCCACATACCTGAACCCTTTGACGGGCCGCACTGTCCACCTCTGCCTGTTTGCTAACCCTAACCTTCACCCCCACAACTCACCCCCTGCAGGGTGGAACCTTTCAGATTCCTGTTTTAACCTGTGAGCTTCTTCCTCGAATATTAGCCTTTTTTAGTTCAAGGTCAGAGTCGTTGAGCTGTCTTTGGTTCCACGCCTGTGGTCAGGGTGGTCTGTTGTTCACAACAGGAATTTAAATCATCTTTTATGTATAAAGTGTAGAAGTACTTCTATCCCTTTATGTGAACTTTTCAACAATATCAGATGAGAGATCACCACAAAGTAGAGCTTAATTGTAGAGTGGAATGAAAACTGACATCCATTTGGCTCCCATAAGAAAATTAAGACATTGATGATGCCTTTTTGTGTTATATTGGAGCTTAATTCATCTTTCCATAAATGCTATCTGCCGAACAAACATCCCCACAGCAAGATCCTGCCACTACCATGTCTTATACTGTAAATTATATGTTCAGTTAGTTTCCTGCTAAACTTAGTCAGAAAGCTAAACATTTTCGTTCTTCCACGTGTTTCCTGTTCACTAAAACATGCAAACAGATTATGTGTTTTTCTTTACACTGAAGCTTTCTTTTTGCAACTTATCTCTAAGATTTTCGACATGGGTTGGTAGGTTTGTAGTTGTGTTGTATTCTGTCCCTTTTCAGCTGATGGATTGCACAGAGCTCCAGGAGATGTTTTTAAAACACTCAACACTTCCATAAACTTCTCCATATCTTTATGTCAGAACCCTGAGATTAAGATAAAAAAACATACTACTAGCACTTTGGGCTGTACAGGTGCTGGTCATAAAATTAGAATATCATGAAAAAGTAGATTGATTTCAGTAATTCCATTTAAAAAGTGAAACTTGTATATTATATTCATACATTACATACAAACTCATATATTTCAGATGTTTATTTTGTTTAATTTTGATGATTACAAATGACAACAAATGAAAATCTCAAATTCATCATATAAGAAAATTAGAATATTGTGAAAAGGTTCAAAATTGATGGCCCCTGGTGCCACACTCTAATCAGCTAATTAACTCAAACCACCTGCAAAAGCCTTTAAATGGTCTTTCAGTCTAGTTCTATAGGCTACACAATCATGGGGAAGACTGCTGACTTGACAGTTGTCCAAAAGACGACCATCGACACCTTGCACAAGGAGGGCAAGACACAAAAGGTCATCGCTAAAGAGGCTGGCTGTTCACAGAGCTCAGTGTCCAAGCACATTAATAGAGAGGCGAAGGGAAGGAAAAGATGTGGTCGAAAAAAGTGTACAAGCAAGAGAGATAACCGCACCCTGGAGAGGATTGTGAAACAAAACCCATTCAAAAATGTGGGGGAGATTCACAAAGAGTGGACTGCAGCTGGAGTGAGTGCTTCAAGAACCACCACACACAGACGTATGAAAGACATGGGTTTCTGCTGTCGCATTCCTTGTGTCAAGCCACTCTTGAACCACAGACAGCGTCAGAAGCGTCTTGCCTGGGCTAAAGAGAAACTGGACTGGACTGCTGGTGAGTGGTCCAAAGTCATGTTCTCTGATGAAAGTAAATTTTGCATTTCCTTTGGAAATCAAGGTCCCAGAGTCTGGAGGAAAAGAAGAGAGGCACTTCATCCACGTTGCTTGAAGTCCAGTGTAAAGTTTCCACAGTCAGTGATGGTTTGGGGTGCCATGTCATCTGCTGGTGTTGGTCCATTGTGTTTTCTGAGGTCCAGGGTCAACGCAGCCACATACCAGGAAGTTTTAGAGCACTTCATGCTTCCTGCAGCTGACCAACTTTTTGGAGATGCAGATTTCATTTTCCAACAGGACTTGGCACCTGCACACAGTGCCAAAGCTACCAGTACCTGGTTGAAGGACCATGGTATCCCTGTTCTTAATTGGCCAGCAAACTCTCCTGACCTTAACCCCATAGAAAATCTATGGGGTATTGTGAAGAAGAAGATGCAATACACCAGACCCAACAATTCAGAAGAGCTAAAAGCCACTATTAGAGCAACCTGGGCTATCATAACACCTGAGCAGTGCCACAGACTGATCGACTCCATGCCACGCCGCATTGCTGCAGTAATACAGGCCAAAGGAGGCCCAACTAAATACTGAGTGCTGTACATGCTCATACTTTTCATGTTCATACTTTTCAGTTGGCCAACATTTCTATAAATCCTTTGTTTTTATTGGTCTTCAGTAATATTCTAATTTTCTGATATGATGAATTTGAGATTTTCATTTGTTGTCATTTGTAATCATCAAAATTAAACAAAATAAACATCTGAAATATATGAGTTTGTATGTAATGTATGAATATAATATACAAGTTTCACTTTTTAAATGGAATTACTGAAATCAATCTACTTTTTCATGATATTCTAATTTTATGACCAGCACCTGTAAATGTAATCATTTCGGACTATCAGATTGAAGGAGGCTAAAATCAAATGGGAATAACAGTTTTTACATTTAGATTTGCAAACGCAATCAGCCATGTAACCACTTTTTGTTTTACTTCATCTTAATGCTCTACTTTGTGTTGGTCTACACCATAAAACTGTAAAGAAAACTAGGGAAAGGTGAAGGGATATAAATAATTTGCAAAGAACTGGATGTTTTTTTAGCCAGTCTTGTTCCTTTCAAGGATTTCAACAGTTCACTGTTAAGAACGCATCAGTACATCATGTTTCTTTCTGTTTTCTTAACGCGCTGGGATTGGAAAATATATATATATATATATATATCCCCCCAGGTCTTTCTCTCCTCAGGAGATAGCTCCTCCTGTGCTGACCTCAACCCCCCTGATTTTCTGTCCGCTCCATGGATTCCTGCCATTATTCTCTTTGCACATAAACTGCTTCAGCAGATAAAAATTCGAGAGAAAGAGTCAAAGTGGAAGTAAACTCTCAGATTAGGAGATCTGATCCCTCTAGTAGCACTTTAAACAGGACGTCTTGATCAATACACCACAGCAAATATATGATACTTAAAAAGGGGTTTAATGGACAAAACTCATTGTTTTCCTTAAATCCAAAATCTTAAAAAATAAAAATAATGCTATTTATTTATCTTTCTACATCTTATTTTAAGTGAAGGTAAGGAATGTGTCCTTTTATGTTTGAATGTATAGCAGAAAGCCTGACTGCAGGCGCGTGCTTCATACATTATCTCGATTCCTCTGTTCTCATATACCTCACCTCCTGCCTTAGTTTTGGTTTGCTGATCACTGTAAAATAAGGAGAAACAAACTTTAGGGGTTTGTTTCCGAGGGCAGACATTGCTAATTGTTTTTGTTCCTTTTATTTTTGTACGTATGTGCTGTGCACAGCAATCTACTGTATTCCTGAGAAAATAAATAATAAAAGTTTGTTTTGTTTTTTAAAAAAACTGCCTGGTAATTTATTGTCTTTCCCCCCAAAGTTAAAGTTCTAGGGTTTTTTCCTCAAACTACATTAATGACTTTTAATGTTTGAAGCTTTTATGTTAAGTTAAACAGAAGAAGATGAACTAACTCTGCTGTATCTGAAGACAACGGCATTAATTAATCATGCTTCCAACCCCTGAAGAATACCATGAAAATGTTGGGTGGGAAAAACCAATATACACACAGTAAGCATGGGTTAAGGCTGCATCTATTGTGAGAAATATATATTCACAATAAAAAAGTAAATACTAGTTATTCAGGCTATTTATTTTCAAGGAAATGACATACAGCAAATAGTCTTCAAACACAAAATCCATACATATTAAAACCAGTAAAGCTGCTCAGTTTACATAAAATCATAATGGGCATAAATTCTATTATATTTTTACCTTAATGGGGAATTTTTGCATGACATTCATGCATGATAAGTTTGAAAAATACAAGCGTTACAATTTTTTATCAGCTGATGTTTTTCTAAACCATAATGAATTCAAGATATTTAGATCATCTTCCAATACTTAAGTAGAAAGTTTCTCATCAGGCTGCTCTTACTTGCTTATTTTAGCCATAAACAGGCTTACAGCTCTTTGCACAATTGGGATTTTTAAGAGGTTATTCTAAAATCTTACTTTCAGTCTAATCTATTCAATACAAAGCTACTATTTGTTCGGCATAATTAAACACTAAATTGTGTTCCAGTTTCAACTATTTAGCCCCATAGACTCCCACCCAGATGTCAGGAAATTAGCTGAAATATCTAAAACAGTCCACGAAACACCACTGCTCAAGCCAATCATAAACTTAAGTAATCACAATAAAGCAAATTTTACATAACAATTGACTTAAAATGTGAGAAAATGGAGGAAAGCTTTACAATGAGCCTAATCATATAAATATCCAAGAATAAGTTTGCTGCAGTATAGGTGAGGCTTTAAGACCCAAGAAGCCAATACCAACGATTAGGGCCTATTAGGCCAAAGCTTCCATGGGGCCCTAAGCAAATTTAATTTCGGGGGCCCTATGCTGCCAATATCATCTTTGACTGTAATCGGCAGTCCAATGAGTAGAGCATTCACACACCGACTGAAACCTCATTGTAGCTGGAAGTGCTGTTTATAATTGGCTCTTTGTATGGACCACATAGGGTTACTAAAGGTAATAATACAAAATAGTTTGCAGAAATGTGTCGTAAAAGCTTAATGTGGTACTGGTATATACTTTTTATATTACAACTGAAACAGCAATATGCAAAAATAACCTGTAAAGCGATAGCATCAAACACATATTGCTTTGATAAAAACAAATCTATTGAACTGTACAATTATATCAAATAACCAATAAAACATCCAGCATATCTTTGCTCTTCAACGATAACATTGCCTCTAAAAAGATTCAATGATCATTCCTCTTCTTTGTGTTAATCTAGCCCCATCAGTAATAATTATTTTATCCTGTATAAGTAATAATTGTACATTATTAAAGCTATATTGATGTAAAAATACATAATTTCATCATGAAATTGAATGTTTTCTTGCATCTATATGAAAATCATTATAGATGCTAAAGAAAACAAAATATTGTTCCTGGGGGCCCTCTTAAAGCGCTGGGGTCCTAAGCAGTCATCATCATGCATGTTGGCTGAAAATCTGCATATCATGATTAAAAGCATCCATACCTGAAAGCTAGATGTCATTCACCATTCAGCAAGAAGGCTTTCAGAAGCTTGTTCATTGTTACATTAACAATTATAAAAATTAAGTTAACTTAATCCAAGTAAACAAGTTCAAGAAGTTGCTTTTTCTCCTTGACTGTAAAAAAAATCGTATTTCCTTAAAACCAAATGATTGTGAGGAAAAAACTGGAAATGACTGTTTCTGGGGGTTTTACATTGTCCCATTTAGATATTGCATCTCAGCCTCTTTTGCAGACTTTTCTAAGTAAGGAAGTGTCTCCATCTGCTGGTGAAAGAGTGGAAATGTAGTGACCAGCAGGTGTCTTAAAACAAGAGATAGAAAAAGCAAGCTGTAAGCCAAATATTGGCCCTAAAGTTGCACAGGGTAAATTGGAAGTATATGATGCAATTAAAAAACAAACTCTATAATTCTATTTTTAAAAGGTTCCAGGTTAAAAATGAAGATTTTTTTAGTACAATTACATAAATCAACCTCCTACACTAAATGACAACTTGAACCAGGATGATTATTAATAAACAGTTTAAAGTGGAGGAGGCGTGAGTTGTAACCAAAAATATGAGTGCCGTTGTTTGACCAACAAACCTGGGATAAACACAGAGATGTGGAAGTGGTCCTTCCGTTGCAGCAGCCCGCACATCTTTGGGGGCGACTGTTTTGCTTCTTTTTTTTTTTTTTTCTAGCTGTGGATGTGAGCAGGAGTGGCGCTCCGAGGGGTTTAAAAAGGTAGCGCCACCAAACTTTGGCGCAACAGAACCTCTGAACTTCCAGTGGAAACCAACAGGATGGATGTCAGAAAGCGACCCAGAATGAGGGACACCATGCTGGCTCTGCTCCTTGCCGTCCTGCAGGGTCTTCCCATCGGTGAAGCAGCCCCGAACCCCTCACCGCTGCTTGGATCCAACTGGGGGAACCCCAGGAGATACGTCCACCTTCAGACCTCCACGGACTTCAACACCTTCTACCTGGAGATCAGACTGGACGGCACTGTGTGCAGAGCCACAGCCAGAACATCTTACAGTAAGCTCTGCTTCTGATGAGGCTGTTCCTTAAAGGTTCATATGTGATCCTGACATCTGCGCACATCTTTCCAAGGTGGTGAAAAGTTTACTTTGTTTTTCCCCCCCTGCAGGTGTAATTCTTCTAAAAGCTGAAACACGGGAGCGAATGGCCATCTTCGGCGTCAAAAGCAACCGCTACTTGTGCATGGATTTGGAGGGCAACCCTTTCACCTCGGTAAGGCAAACAATAACTAATAAATCTCAGAAATATATAATCCAAACTAAACCGTGTTATAAAACATGTTTGGCACCTGTTACGCATTTTCTCCCATTTTACGCACGAGTCTGTAACATTTTTTCATTTTGTTTTATTTGTTAAATCTACTTTTTAATGCTTTTAACTTTAATCACAGCCCCCATTCTACAGTTTTATATTATCATTTCACTCTATTTATGCCATTATTGTGCTTTATGGCGCAATACGAACTTTTACGCACAACTCCAAATGCGTTCTTCTGCTCTTTACATAAAAGTTAAAAGTTGTTTCATCGGGAGATTTACACCAAGGAGCTTTTTATTACAAAACAAATTTAATTTGTCATTGATATGGTAAGTAATCGCGCCACTAAATTCAAGTTGAAAACAATTCAGAAAATGCATATTTCTCTGTTTTTGGAAGATAGATTTAAACAATAAAATTTGTCTGATTGGTTGAATATGAAAAACAAAAGTAATAACTAACCGGAAAACATTTTTATTGTGTAGATTTACAGTAATGTCTCTTTGTTTTAATTTTTAAGTCTGAAGATTTATTTTTCCCTGAATCATTCCTTTAATGGACTAAAAATAATTTTTTCCCGAATTCTCAACTTGTTGCTGTTAAGAATATTTGATTAGTGGAACAATAAGCAAATTGAAATGTAATATTTTTTCCTATTTTCAGGCCTATTATTTCGTTTTAAGTATAATTTTATGGCTATATTGTGTATGGATCTGATTCATTGCAAACTGTCAAGCTACCATCTGAAAATAGATTTTAAAAAGTTGTTTCTTTTGTTTATTTTAACCTTTGTCAGACCTATTTGTTTAAATTTAAAATGGAAGGACAGTACAAAATCAAAAAGTTCTATATGAAAAATGTCTGTAAGGTTGAGCTTTTAAATTATAATTTTAAAAGTAATGATTAAAATGCACTGTCCAAAAATCGATACAAGTCCTCCCCCCTGTTTTAATTATACTAGTTTATTTTGAGTTGAACAAAAACAACACTTTTAAACAGACTCTTAAAATAAATACAGATGCATATTAAGATAAATAAGACATTACATTTTTTTGCAAATACTAATTTTATTTCACTTATAAATTTTACAAGCAAAAAAATTAAACAATCCAATTAAATTTCTTTACCATTCACTAACAAAACAAAGGGTTCAAATTTCACCAATAAGACTATCATCATTAAACATTTAACTTTAAAGACTTTATCTAATAATTCTAGAAAGAAATGATTCCAGTTTAACAGTTAAGACAGATAAAAATTCACCCATTTCTGATCAAATTAAAATGTTTAAAATTATTCATTCAATTCAAACTCAAATAAGTTAAATTCTTACTAACTATTGAAACTATTTGTTATCCAATTAGTTATAAACGCTAAACATCGCAGCTAACCAGCATCATTAGCATTAGCACTACCACTAAGAAGATACAAATTAAATTTCTTTCTTCAATAGCATATAATCTTAAGATTATATATTTATATATATATAAATGGCTTTCTTTCCTACAATCTTTGAGTGAACCAACAGCTTTGTTTAACCATCACCTATTAGTAGTTAATGTTAGAATTTACAAGTTGTTTTGAAATTCAACATTTGTGGCTAAAAGTGAAAAAGAGAATCTATGGCTAATAATAAAGACACTCTAAAATTAATTTTCATAGTGTATACTGATAAAACAATCAGCATATATCAGCATTGATAGGATCTGTTGCATAATATATTTTATTAATCTGAAACTGAACTGAACTAACTTAATAAAATATGTTTTATAGTTTTCAAAGTTATGAAACTGAACATTAAGTGTTGATAAATGTGAACCATTTCTGTCTTGTAGCCTGTGTGTCTGAGGGAGGAATGTCTGTTCAACCACAAGCTTCTGGAGAATAACCGGGATGTGTACTACTCCACCCGGACCGGCATCCTGTTCAACTTGGAAGGCTCCCGGCAGGTGTACTCAATGGGTCAGAATCTGCCGCAGACCGCCCTCTTCCTACCCAAGAAAAACACAGTGCCGCTGGAGCGCCTCTTGCTGCACAGAGAAAAGAGGAACCGAGTGGTTGATCCCTCAGACCCACACAATGTCCTGCTGGGGCAGGCAGAGGAGGGCTCAGACTCCCAGGCTGTGCGAGAGGATGACGGCGAGCTGGAGGTGGAGATCGAGGTCGGGGATGACGGCATCAACGTTTCCAGGGAGACGCTGCAACAGGCTCCGTCCAACCAAGACCCCTGGAACGTTCAGTCTTTTAGACAGACTGGTCCAAGGAACACCGGCTCCGTGGGCTGAGCTTAGAGGGACAAACTACTTCTAGCTTAGGCCAAACTGCTGGTGGATCATGTAGAAACACAGCGTGTTGATACAATGAAAACGCAGCATATCACTTGAGCTATCGATTTTGCACAATTTATATTGTATTTAAATAATCTGTAACATTTGCGAAGATGGGATAATTAGATAGATTTTTTTAACATTTTAGTTTAGTTAGTTTAAATGTAATTTAATTCTGTTAAAACACCAAAGCTAAACCATATTCCACATATTTAGTTGGTATCTTTTCCAAAAACAACAAAATTCAGTAGAGAGAATATTTTCAAATGTGTTTGAGAACTTTTTGGGTTTCTTCCCAGACTAACAAACCCACAAAGATGTTTTTCCAAGGCAGAAATCCTAATTTATCCTACCTCTGGAGGACCAAAGTGTACATATAAATACATGTAGGCAAAGCTTCCATTACAGTTAGGGTTTTAATTAAATGCTTTTCCATTTCAGATATCGAAAATGACTTGAACATATCATGACAGAGTAGATTTACTGAATCAATCTAAACTTTATTTGTCCAATATTTAATTCATGGCTTTAAACGAAAATACAGGTTGAAAAATGTTTTTAAAAAGCTGTAAATTTTAGCTCCAATTAGTCTTCATGTGATAATCAGGTGCTGCACACCACCAGCAAACACAAAGAACAAAAAAATACCCCAAAGTGTATTTATTTATTTAAATCCATTCCTTTATTATTTATAGTATTTATAAGGATGCTTTGCAGTAACTGTGTACATACAAAAAAACAAAACAATTAAAGGTGTACTTTGAATGTATGAGCTGGAGTTGTTGTGGAAGGAGAGTTGCTTGAATTTGGGATAAAATAAAGCGAGAAAAGGAAACACTGTGTGTTACTTGGTGTGTAAACATTTGTGATTATAATAAACATGTCTTAAACAGCTTTCCACTCATTACTTAACATCCTGACATTTTACCTCAATCCATAAATAACATGCAAACAGGTAAAGCAACACTTTATAAAGCTTGTTCATCACTTCAATAATTAAACCGTTTTATTTAATCTAATCTTAAATCTAAACCAATCCTTTGTTTATATGAAATTAATTCATCATGTTTCTAAAAATACTTTTAAAATCAATACACTGCAACCTTTAAAATGATTGGCACTCCTGGTGAAGATAAACGCCTTTAAATTCATTTGTGTTTTTATATCTTTGAGTGCAATTATTCTGCAATGGAGATTTAGCAAGTAAAGAAATAAATAGCAGGGGGGAAAAATGAACTTGTTTAACTTAAACATGAACCAAAAGACTCCTTCTGGCAACACAACAGCACCTAATCTGGTTCTAAGGGATCTTTTCATGAGCGTCTCTTAAGATCACCTAGTTTTCCCTTATGATAAACTTACTGGATCTCTTCTGGAGTTTGAGTTTTAGGCCAAGATGGATATAGAAGACAGCTGATTGCAAATATTACCCAATGTAATATCAATTATCTGGCATCTTAACAAGTTATTGATGTTACACCCTACAGATATGCCGCATCACAGTTCCTGGGACATGGTATTTACAGCCTCAGTGGTTACCCCTGGCTGCCCGCATCAAATTCAAGTCCCTGATGCTAGCCTACAAAGGGTACAGTTCCCATCTACCTTAGCCCTCTAACAAAGACTTATGTCACAAATCAGCCAATTCGGTCAGCAATGTCAATGTTACAGCAATGATTGTCATCGAGCAGTGCCTACACCATGTTTAAGAAAATCCAAACTGTTTTCATGTGTTGTTTCAAGAAGGTGGAATGACCAACCAAGTGCTACAAGAACAGCAGAATCCCTGTCTTTCTTTAGGAAATGTGATCCCCTCTTCACCTCTTCACAGGCATCTCCTATCCTAACTCTTGCCCATGCCCCCTCTACTACTCTTTCTGCACTTCCCTCCCTCTTTGCTGTCACCACTGATTCTGACCAGGGATTTTAGAGAACTTATTTTCATATTGATAACTGTAAAATTGTATCAACTTTTTGGATAAAGGTGTCTGCTAAATGCCTTAACATTAACATTTACAACATCTTTTTCCTTTACTGAGGACCAATCCTCCATCATACTGGAGTCCGCTCTTCCCAAAGCACACGGTACCAGTGCTTTGGAAAGAGCGATAAACGTCATACACACTCTGGTTTGTTTAAAAAATATATATAAATATAAAAAATATAACCGCGGATGTTTGGGGGACAGTGATTCGCCTACTTACCATAAAGAATAAATTATGAACAGTTTAGTTTGTGCCTTCAAGTCGTTGCCCATAGGAAGACGTTACTTGGATATAACCTAACAGAATATCTTCAGAACAGCTTCAAATGACACAAAACTCATATGGGAGAGTAGAACATGATGTAATAACGAAAATCAAGGCCCAATGTAATATAAAAAAATAAAAAAAACGGCGTTCCCTTTTTAGCAAAACATGGTGGGAGAGTAAATGTCTTAATGCAGTGACTCAAACAGCGCCAATTTGGGAATTAACAGATTTATGGTGGAGCTGAACCATATCACCAACATCTAATTCTATTCAGATGAAGTTAATCACATTTTACCAACTTTTTTCACATTATAATTTAACTCTCATATGTGTTCTGATACATGTAGCATCTCAGCTACTAAAACTATAAATCGTATCGGGAAAACAAAGGCAACCAAAACATCCCATGGGCCAGAAGTGTTATACAGCTTTGATTCTGAGCTGAATCTGTCACCATGGTAACTCATTCTGGAAAAACTAACCAGCTCAGAGTCAGGTTTGGTTTCAAGATCATAGATCAGGACACGGAAAGAACAACTTCGATATTTGGATGCAAGTTAAGAATAATTTAGGACCAGACTGAGAAAAACACTTAAAAGCTTAGCCGTATTGTTTTCTTTCATGCTAGAATCCGTTTTTCCTTCCTGAATAAAACCTCACTGGACCATCTTCAGATTGTACATGTCCCTTTGTTTTAGTTTTTTTTAAGTGAAGGTAAGGAATGTGTCCTTTTATGTTTGAATGTATAGCAGAAAGCCTGATTCCTGAGCTTGGCTGCAGGCGCGTGCTTCATACATTATGTCGATTCCTCTGTAAAATAAGGAGAAAAAACTTTTGTAGTTTGTTGCTAATTGTTTTTGTTCTTTTTATTTTTTTACGTATGTGCTAGGCAGAGCAATCTACTGTAATCCTGAGAAAAAAATCAATAAAAGTTGTTTTTTTAAAGATGCCTGGTACTTTTTTATGTCTTTTTATTTCGGGGTTAAAGTTTTAGGTTGTTTGTTTTTTTTCCTTAAACTACATCAAAGACTTTTTACCGCTTGAAGCTTTTATGTATGGCTGCATCTACTGTGTAAAATAAATCTCTTGTTTATTTATTCTCCTGCTGAATAAATGCACTCAAATTAAAAGTTAGATTTTTTTGTTCCTTATACCTTATGATTATACTGCTTAAGCAGTAAACACACTATATATTTAAGGCTTAATACGAATTTCTACAATGAGCATCGACAGTCATACAGAATCAGGACAATGAACAAAAAGCAGCTTAACTCTTAAAATAATCAAACATGTCTTAAACCATTTTCTTAGAGCTGAAAGTCAAATTTATGCCCAATGACGGGAATAATTTAGTCATTTTGTCTTCAAGACAATGAGGTCAGGTTTTAATGTAAGCTTTCAGCTTATAAAGCTTTTCAGTTCACCAAAACTAATCATTTAATACCCAATAACAAACAAAACTTACAGCCACACCTTTCACCCATTTATAGTGATGGATGACTGAGAATCTTCACAGATATACCCATTCATAGTGTCTTTACACAAAGTCTGTTTTACAGAAAGTTTTACCCTAATTCACAACTCAGTGCTCCAACTTTTATTGCACAGCACAATAAAGAATATCTGCACACAAAGACGGAATAAATAGGCTCTACTTTGGTATCAAGTTATAAAAGAGGTAACTAAATTACCTGTTTATAAATGAAATACGTCCCTCTGTAATGTGTGAAGGAACTACTTTAATACAGTGATTCTAAGTGATTTTCATGCTGATTATTAAGAAAACACTGTTGATTTGAGTTTCCTGTGCCACTGCTGAGGTCCTACTCTGTCATTCGTCTCCTACTCCGGTTCTTGTAGCTTTTCCAGGTGGTCTTTTCTGTTGGTGAATAGACAGCGAGCGGCAGAAAGCACCGGACCTGACTCGGTTCGGCTCAGAGTGATAACAAAGCGGCTGATCCCCGTGTTGGGACAAGGCGAAAACAGCTGTGACGTCTTCGCTCCAGCAGGCAGGCTGCACTTTAAGTCCTCCACCAGGTGCCTAATGGCCACCCGGATGTAGGCGCCATGGCTCACCACCAGAACATGGGCCGATGCCCCCTGGAAATCGCAGCTGGCCATTGCGGCGTCTTCTGCAGAAAGCGCCAATGAGGGAGTTTCCTGTCCTGAGGAGCCACTCATATCCAGCATTTCTTTAAAAAGGACTTGTAGAAAATTTTTGAATCTCAGCTTCACCTGGAAGTAAGTGACATGGGGGCTACAAGTTTAACATGATTGAGGAGGGGGGAAAAAACTAAGATGAGTCTTTGGTTTTGATGCTTTTGAGAGAAAATGAAACTCAAATTGTTTATTTTTTCTTTCATACAAAGAGCAAAACATCATCTGCTCACAGCTGATTTCTAACTGCAAACATTAGTGGTTGAGCTTGTACTTGTTTTATGACGAGTACGGGTGCATCTTTACGCTGCATTACAGCAATTTTTAGACCCCATAAAGAACACACTGGTCAAAATCAAAACCTTAGTGGGATTTTATTTGACTGATAACACAAAGAGGTATGAAAATAAGGCACTGTTTGTATTGTTTTGGATGTGGCAAACATTTGTTTAAGAATATAGAGTCCCCTCGTTTAATACCTTATCTGATTCTGTTAGCCCATGATTACAAAGGCTCAGTCTGACTAGAAAGTGTTAAGTTTAACCTTCACATCCTTGTAAGATTGGATTTAAAATCAGGAATTTGACTAGAAATTTCTATTATTTGTGTTTTTATCCAACCCATTAGTTCTGAAACCTTTCATATCAAGCAGCACCTTGCTAAATGGAAAAATTTCCCCAAGTGTTAATTTCTTGGTTTATATTTCAAACTGCAGCACAGAGACATTTTGACCAGTCTAGTCTGTCTTGTTGGGTTCATGTGAACTACTGCAATAGTGTGACTATTAAAGGTCACCTCATAAAAATTAGGACCATGACTTCAAATTAAACATAACTAAGTTTGCTTGCATAAACCAGATTGAAAAGCTGTCAACACTAAAAATATGAGATCATATTTATGGTATAATGTTTTTAACCAAAGCTCAAATATCACATTTCAATTTCACCCAATTCAGTTTTTCGGTACTATTCTGTTTAAAAAAAAAGTGTTTTCTGGGGAAATTAGGTTGTAATGTTGTAATACCCAAATATTACCAGTAGGTGTCACTGTTTGATAAGAAATACTCCTGATCTAGATGCTGTCCAACTCACCTGGTCTAAAGTTTCTCCTCCTGGAGGCGTGTAATCACGGCATGACTGACCGGCAGCGTTCGCCATGTTCTTCAGGTCTTCTTTGTGGCGTCCTTCAGCGACACCAAAACCCTGTGTCAAAAACAATTTGGTTCAAATCCAAATCCAGGAAACATCATCTAACTAGTCCAGCTGTTTGTTGTTTTTTTCCCCCCAACATTACAGTGAGTGGATCATACCCGTTCTCTGAGTAAAGGCTCTGAAACCATCTCCATTCCAGAACAGTGAGTGTTGTTCTTCAGGATTAGCTCTGCCGTCTGGAAAAAAAGGGCAAATATACTGGAAATCAAACGGTTCAATGTTTAAATGCATATTAAGACATGTATTTACGGTCAGCATCAGTGAGTCAAACACCACCAAATCATGAATACCCACACAGCAATTTCATGTGAGAGTCATCATCCTGTTTTCTGTCTTACTAATGAGATATGCATGAGTATAGACTGATTTTCTGCAGCTGTTGGCATGGGGATGTGAAGGATAGGGTCAAAAGGATAAAAACAAGAATCCTGCTTTATTGGACTAATCCACGAGTATCAGAAGTCCTGCAAAAATATCCCGCTGTCTCACAGATTTCTAAAGCTTTCGCTTTTTATCAAACTTAAAACATTTTAAACTGATTTTAACAAAAGACAAAGATTACCTGAAAATACAACATGATTTTTTCAGAGGTTTTCATTATGAAAGGAGAAAGCTATCCAGACCAACCAACGCCCATTTAAAGACATAAACTTGTCTTTCATCTTTTACATCCCTTTGGGCTCCACCTTGCAGATGTCTTTTCTTAATTAAAGGAACACTGAAGGCCTTCTAAGCATGAACAGCCTGTTTGAGGTCACAACACTGCTTCACTTACTGTTTCTGATATGGTTATCAATTTATTTAGATGGGTAGAAGGTCTACTGCTTAGAAATCGAATGATTTAGACATCCGTTTAATCAATCCCGGATATGTAATGCTGATTTCTTGGGGCTGACTCTTGGGAGAAAATAGGGCTTTTCCTTCCACCATTTACATGATAAAGTTGTTATCAAGACAAAAAAAATGTTACACAGCTCCTAACTTTAATGGAAAATAATTAACAAATCAATCTAAACATCAAAAAAGGATGATCTCCTTGAGATTTAATAATGCACGCAAGTATCACCTAACAACAAAAATATGGCAACATCGGCCAAAAAATACCATGTAGTTGATGTGTTGGTCTATCTCTAGTACTGCTTTTTAAGATGTGCCTTGCTTTATGCTGCCATACATGTCCCATTTCAGTAGATTCAGGGTTTCTTTTTGTAAACCTTTTAAATCATGGTTTACAAGAGAAACCATTTTTACCTCCACTAAGTAGGTTATGTTTTTAGGTTTGAGTTTGTCCATCTGTCTGTAAAAAGAATAACTTTAAAAGTTATGTACAAATTTTTTATTAAATTTTTATTAGAGGTGTTTCTCATGCAAAGGAACAATGCATTAAAATCTTGTGTCTTGATTATAATAGACTTAGAACTTTATTGATCCCTTGGGAAGACTCCCTCCTGAAATTAAGGTTACCAGCAGCTTACAGGGCAAAAAAGTATTAAGTTAAATTAAGTTAAAATCAAGCAACAAAAAAGTATTAAGTTAAATTAAGTTAAAATCAAGCAACAAAAAAGTATTAAGTTAAATTTAATTAAAATTAAAGCTACAGTGTGTAATTTTCAGCGACATCTAACGTCCAGACTGCAGACCGCAGCAACATGAACATCTCCCCCCACCGCTTCTCCCCCCCAACAGTACGGCGAGCGTTACGGGACAAAATGTCTTCCAAGACGTCCGCATCACCTACCTTCTCAAGTGATGAGGTTTGTTTACATAGATAATTTTACAGATAGTATTTCATTAGTCTGTGTTTTCAGTACTGTCTCAGTTCATCTCTCTCAACTTGCCGTAGTTACTTTTGAGCGCAATGGGCGATCTCGCAATCGCTAGTTTGTTGGCTCTGCGCTGCCGTAGCGCAAAGATGTCTGCCTCCATGGCTGCGAGACCCGCTCCTATGTAATTATAAATAAAGAATTCTAAGGCAACGCAAAAATTAAGGTTAAGAGGCTGAGCTCGTAGATGATGATAAATAACATAGTTATGTATAATATATTACATTTCTGACTGTATATCCCTGTAATTATTACACACTGTAGCTTTAAGCAAAATACAAATAAATATGGAGTTCACATTTAACAGAAAAATAAAAAAAAAATACAAGTGTTGCTACTCCTTCCCTCTTCCCCCTGTCCTGTGTCGCCTCCTCGCCCCCAGTGAGGCGTTGTACAGTCTGATGGCGTGGGGATCAAAAGAGTTCTTAAGTCTATTGGTCCGGCACGTGGAAAGCAGCAGTCTGTCACTGAACAGGCTCCTCTGTCTGCTGATGACGGTTTGCAGAGGGTGGCTGCTGTTGTCCATGATGTCCATCAGTTTATTCAGTGTCCTCTCCTCTGCCGCCGTCACCAGAGAGTCTAGCTACATGCCGACCACGGAGCCGGCCCGCCTGATCAGTTATAATTATCTAGACATAAGAATTTTTAAACAGATTCTCCAACATTGTTAGATGAGATACTTGGCAATTCACCACTAATCCAGAAGGTGACGGCAGTGACTATTGACAGCCTCAGCATCAGACTCAAAAAGTCTGGAGGTATATTACTGAAAACCAAATTTACAAGAAAAAGAAGCGTTGTTGGTTTTCCAGCAGGATCAATTAAAAACTAATGAACGGATATTATGTTTTGGGTGTTTATTTTTTTATAATTTTTTATACCAGAGGTGCACCTCATGCCAATTAACAGTTTGTTTACATTTGCTGATGATCCAGATCATGTGCGAGTTTCAGCTATAGGTGTAAGTCCCAATATGGTGCACAATTTGCTTCTTGGTGGAGGTCCGCGCTCTCTGATTGCTTTTCTAGTATTTATACCATATTTCCTGAGATGTGCCTTGAGATGATGCGTTGTGAATTGGTGCTATATAAATAAACTAAATTCTAAATTCTTTAAGGGAGCGAATCCTTTTTTACATAATTGCATGTCTAAAACAATGAATGCAAAAACTCAAATAACAAACATGTAATTTACCTGCACAGCTCGCTGCAGGTTACTAACAAAGACTTTGGAGAACTTGACGTCTCTGAGGTATTTTCCCACGGCTTCTCCCTGCTGCACACCTGTTTCTGACAGAGGCATGTCCACTCCCTGACCTACAAGCAGAGAGCAATTGGCCTGAGGACACGCTAGATGTCACCGAAACACCAATTTGACAAGTTTCACATTTAAATTTAAGACACCCTATTATCATAATTTAGATCCTTATTTCCTGTTAAAACCCACAAATGAAAAACTCTACCATCGAGGGCGTCACGTATCACTGTTTTTACTTCATACAATTTTGAATAAATAAAATATATTTTTACTGTGTAGTGGTACAGTCATCTATTTAATAGGAGTGTACATTTTGAATCTTATTTTTTATTCCGTCTCCCTTGATATTTAAGGGGTTTAATATAATATATTTCAGGCCTGGGTACAAGCTGTGATTTGAAACATAAATAAAGGGATCTTCACTAACCTGCTGTAAACAAAGGAGATGGTCTTTTGTTAGGAATTTAAATTTAAGCTTTACCTCCTTATTTAATTTAAGAAAGAAGTATAATCTCTAACGTTCTGCTCTCTTTGCCTTTTCTCATAGTAGCTTTGCCTTGTCTGTTCCTGTTTGGCTGTGACTCAATCCTGGAGAGAACTATCAGCTGTGCTGCTGCCATCAACACCAGTGTCCTGTTCCTGTGACTGGCTGGATGTGCTCTCTTCATCCTCTGACATGGGAGCTAGCTCGGAGCTCGACTGCCTGGCTGTGGGTTTCCTTGACAGGGCCGCCTTTTACAGCTGCTTTTTGTATCTCAGCTTCTGTCTCCTTGAACCCCAGTCGGCCTTGGCAGATGGCCGTTCACACTGAGCCTGGTTCTGCTGGAGGCTTCTTCCTGTTCAAAGGGAGTTTTTCCTCTCCACTGTCACTACAAGCATGCTTGGTGTGAGGGATTGCATTTGAGTCAGTGAGTTGATGCAATCAACTGGTTTTCCTTAGACAAAAAACTTTTCATCAGTGTGACTGGATGATCTGGCTGAACTGTAAAGTGCCATGAGATGACATGTGTTGTGAATTGGCGCTATAAAAATGAATAGCAGAAGAATCAAGATCCCAATAACTTGACATAAAGTAAGCATGGCCTAACCCTTATTAAAAGTGTCATCTATTTGAATACAGATTAGTTTGTAGAGCTTTTTTACTTTTGCACAAAATAAATTTGTCAATATTTTTGGTAACCTTTTTTTTTTTTTTGCCCCTTAACTGAATAAGTTGCTTAAGTGTAAAAATAAAGAACAATATCGCATTATTTTATTTTGAATTACCTTGTAGAAGCTTGTCTCTGTTGTACTGCGTCTCGCCACTGTTTGAAAGCAAGGTGAATGAATCACATTATTGGCAGATGGTTACAGTTACCTCAGAGTATTTCAGGCTATATTTATTCAACAATAAGCTAAAAATAAACCAACTGCAAACTAAAACCAAATAAACAGAATAAAGTCGTTAAACGACCGACTTACTGCCGTATGAATGTTAGGATGAACGTTGACATTTTCACCGGCTGCTCTCGAGCTACTTCCTGATTGAACCCTACGTCATGAGATGCTGCGTCTTACGTCATGACGTCTTGCGGTGGAGCTTTTAAGCCAATTACTAAATCCAAATGCTCATTCCTTGTCTTATTCTGACTTTCTGTCACTTTTCCATTTTCCTGTTACTCCTAAAGAATATGCTGTTGTGAGTGACGTAATTCCCAGAGGGATTAAAGCTTTTATCATCTTTACCCACAAGTCAAATTTACTCACTGTCAAGTTTTTATCCAGAGTCCATTTATATTGATTATGATTGTCCTTTTATAAGTAAGAAAAGAACCAAAAAAGGTTAAGAAATATTCTATTACGAGATTATGTTTACTCCTTAAAAAATACTTAATAAAAAATAAAGTAAGAGAAATTTCCTATTAAGTCATTCGTAATGTTTATCCTGTTAAAGCATTTTTGATCAAAAAGATGTGGACCTAATGTATACCTTTTTTTTTTTATAATGAAGAAAAGCTTGTTCATCTTTTTTGGGGATTGTAATTATACCAAAATATTCTGTAAAGATATGTCAATTTTTTTCATCGAAAAAATCTTAACTCTTACTTTATAGTTTGAGTGGCTCAGGTTATCCTTAGTTATCTCTATAGTTATGCTGCTATAGGCTTAGACTTCTGGAGGACATAGGGACCCCCATTTCATCGTTCTGCTTCATTCTATCTCTTTTCTCCCATTCTGCAGAATCTATTAGTTCAATCTCTAACGTTCTGCTCTCTCTGCTTTTTCTCAAAGTAGCTTCATCTGGTCTGTTCCTGTTTGGCTGTGACTCCATCCTGGAGAGAAATATCAGCTGTGCTGCTGCCATCAACACCTTTGTTTATAGATGTTGGAGATCTGCCTGTTTTTCAGTGTAGTCCTGTTTCTCTGACTGTGACTGGCTGGATGTGCTCTCTTCATCCTCTGACTTGGGAGCTGGCTCGGAACTTGTCTGCCTGGCTGTGTGTTTCCTGGACGGGGCCGCCTTTAATAGCTGCTTTTTGTATCTCTGCTTTTGTCTCTTTGGACCCCAGTCTGCGTCAGCAGATGGCCGCTCACATTGATTCTGGTTCTACTGGAGGTTTCTTCCTGTTCAAAGGGAGTTTTTCCTCTCCACTGTCACTACAAGCATGCTTAGTGTGAGGGATCACATTCGAGTCAATGAGTTGATGCAATCAACTGGTTTTCCTTAGATAGAAAACTTTGAATCAAATTGACTGTATGATTTGGTGAACTGTTAAGTACCTTGAGATGACGTGTTGTGAATTGGCGCTATAGAAATAAACATTTTGACATTTTAAAATAATAGCTCTGTTCTGTAAAGCCCTTTGTTGTTATATATGTTTGTAATCCTGAATGTTCTATATTGTTCAGGCTTTGTCAAATCACATCTCCAGTATAACGGGAAACCACTAACTTTCTAAATAATGGTTAATTCCTTTAAAAAAAAAAAAATAAGAGAATAAAATCTTATTTAAAGCATTTTTTTATTATTATTTCAGCAAAATTTCAAATTCATAAATTTCCTTTTCAAAAGCCCCCATTTAAACTTTTTAAATTTTCAAAATACAAAGAATCAATACATTCCTCTTCAAACTCCAAAGCTTTAAAGACTCTTGATGCTTTAAGCTTTTTTCAAGTGCTGCTGTTGAGTGCTGTTGTGTTTATAATTCACATTTTTAGTGTAACACTGGGAAAAAAAAGTATTTTTAAAAGTTTTGTTTCTGTGTGAAACACTTTTTACACATCACACAATTTTATTAAAGAATAAACAAACATGGAAACTATATTCATTTATGTAGGCTGATCCAAACAGTATGTGTTTTGAAGACCAGGGGCCAAACCGAAGTGTGTGTATGCACACAAAAAAAATAGGCACAAGTAAGTAAGAAAGTTGCTGATGTTACTCAATAAGTGTTGGTTAGTTTAACAATCATCCCTAATAAGGTGTGTAGATGTCCTCTGTGATGACTTACTTCTCACCATCACCATTGGCCACATGCCACGTTTTGTGTGAATAGAAGCTTAATAAATTAGACCCTGGATCCTCAGGAAACAAACCGGTTGTTTGTACTGGTTGATCTGACTGGAAGGTGGGTTAGGTGTTCATTTGTTCCAATACCAGCAGTTACAAATGCATGTCACAGTAACACTTCTTTTCGTCCAACAACATGCTTAACATATTTCCAACAGCAATTAAGGACTTTTAAAAACTCTGCCAGCATGCCTGGGCCTGGCTGTTCAAACAAGATCACCTGAAGAGCAGAGGAGAACGAGAAGATAGAAAGCAGGGGCCACTGATGTAAAGCATGACTATAATCAGAAATACATAAGTTTATCTTCTATGGGAGATGGGTCAGGTGGACAAACAGGCCGACAGCATCACCATGATGATGGCATGCTGTTTCACAGCTTCCTTCCAGGCATAAAACCGGCTTCTTCTGCGTCATTCATGACCAAAAAACTTTGATGGAAATCTCATCAGTAAGGTTTGTTTAATCCTGTACATTAAATTTTGTGAGGGTGAGACAAGATAACTCCAAACTTTTCATGTCTGTTTCCCCAAACAAATGTAGATAGGAATGTCCTAATACATTTTCCGTACTGATATTGATCCAATACACACACACACATATATATATATATATATATATATATATATATATATATATATATATATATATATATATATATATATATATATATATATATATATATATATATATATATATATATATATATATATATATTTTTTTTTTTTAAGTGTGGAATGTTAAAAAGGGCTGTTCAAGTGATTTTATTAAACAAGTATGAGAACAATTGACCTGTTTATTCACAAACGGGTTACAGAAGAGGAGTGTTATCGGCCAGTTGATCTGATGATCGTTAAGCTGATTTTGGTATTGATGAGCACCTATCATTTAAGCCTCATGTTCATTGTCTAGTGAGAAAGTTGAGACTAAAATTGGGTTTTTACTTTCAAAATAAGCTGTGCTTTTCTTTTAATGTAAAAAAAAAAACGGTTGGTAGCATCCACTTTTTTAACTGTGCGGACTATGGTGATATATGATATATGCATTCATCTGCTCAATGCCTGCAGATGATTGACACAGCCTATCACGCATCATTGAGATTTATTACTAATTGTAAAGCTCGCACCCATCACTGTGAGCTGTATTCTCGTGTAGGGTGGTCTGCCTTGGCTACACCGAGGCTTTGTTATTGGTATATATTTATATATAAGGCTATTCTTGGTGCGCTTCCATCTTATGTTCACTTCTTATGAAAAAAAGTACTGGTCATTACTCTCTCCGTTCTCACGCTGTTGTCTTGTTTTCTGTCCCACGTGTCAGTACTGAGCTGGGTAAAAAGGCCTTTGCTTACTCTGCTCCCTTTACATGGAATTTGCTGCAAAATAACTTGAAACTTAGTAAATTGGTTCCTTTGAATTCTTTTAAGCTGAGAATTAGATGTTTTGTTATGGACTCCCTCACATGTCAATGTTTTAATTGAAATTTTATTGTAAGTGCATATTTAGCTTTTATGTGTGTGTCTTTGTACGTACGTAATGATGTGATGTAATTTTGATGCCTATCTTTGCCAGGTCTCCCTTGCAAAAGAGATTTTTAATCTCAATAGGTATTACCTGGTTAAATAAAGGATAAATAAATAAAAATTCGATTCTAAACTTTCTTAATTGCAGAGTCAGTCATAAAGAATTAATGCCAGTTAGACTGTAATTTAAAATGACTTTAAGCATAAAAAAAAAATGTATATTAATTTACCAGAAACACAAAATTCCATTTTGTACACTGTACAAAATGGAATTTTGTTGCATTTTGCAGCATATCTATTTTGCACTGAACCTTTCCATATTATTTGCCCTTCTGCACCATTATTATTTTTTAAACTGATTTTCCTTTTCTCCTATACTGTTTACATGATTATACACTGTGTATACAAAATTTGGTTAAGTCTGTTATCCGCAATCGGTGATCTATATTGTTCTCAAGCCCCAACTGGTTAATAATCTGAATGTTGGGAAGCTGTTATTCATAGTATATGCAAAAATTTAAAATATTACTTGAATGTTTATTTTTTTTTTATGTGTTATAAGATATAAAGTAATGTTTTAATCTTGAACCTTTTTTCAGTGCATTCTTTCTGACAGCTTTAGCACCCCCTGGTGGCCTTAAATTAGAAAGACAACCCATACCAGTGATTTTAGCCAATTTATTGAGAACAAATTGAGGTACACAAGTGGTTGCACACAGGGATAAATGGGAAAGGATTTGTATGAACCACGACAAACAATTCTAAAATTGAGTAAATGGGTACCTCAAAAACAAATGACAATGCATTTCATTGAACTGATCCAAACTTGTTCCCCTAATAATTTTTTTTTTTTTGCATGCCTATCAAAAACATGAATAAAACACACTATTGTATTTATTTGAGCTGGCACCAGACTTGAAAATTAGCCATTTGAAGGTAGGCAGGAGGCACTTTTAAATCGGTGGGATCTGTAAGGTGAATTTCTTAACATAAGGAACAACAAAAAGAAAAAAAAAAGAAAAAGAAAAAGCGAAACCCGTCAGACGAATCAGGAGTGAAGTGATTGTGAGTGATACGACGTGTGATGAGGTAAGTGTGAGATTGCCTCTCGCTGTGTCTGTCCAATTCGATTATCCTGAGATACACAAGAAGCAGCAAGAATATAGATAGAACGAAGATAGAACAAAGATTACAACGATTAAAACAATAAATGCATAAAACATGCTGATCAAAAAAAAAAAAAGGATTTCCAGTCCCGCATCAAAACTCTGCTCCCTTTTCCCTCTGGTACGTTGACAAAAGAGAAAAGCACACTTGTTACATGTACAACATATTACAATATAGCAGCACACAAGTGAATGACGATAAGGCATTTTTTTTGTGTAAGACAAAGAAAGAGAAAGCTTAATAGCAGCAAAGAATGTTGTAGATCATTTCTTTTTACTTTGGGAATCTAAAAGCATCAAACATGCTTGACTTTAAAGCACTCCTTAAAACAATTTGGCTCTTTTTGCACATTTGAAAAAGAAATTAGAGCTAATTGGAAACAGTTTAAAAGGTTTTCAAGCATTTTTGTTTATCTAGAGATATTTTTTTTATTTATTTACAAAAAAAAAAGGGCTGCCTTTAAACTGCAGTTAAAAGAAGAAATCAACACAAAATAGAGATGTAACTATTGGATCTAATGGGATGGGGCTAAATGATCTGAAAATGAAATAAATTCAAGTTTAGGATTACACAAGCAGACTTAAATCTGATTGGCTTGCCTTGGTTTACAAACTTTTACATTAGGAGGGTGATTTTTAATAAGTCTATTCACCAACTGAGGCAAAGCATTCAAGACAACATGCTTCGCCCCATGGGAATCCAGCCCAGGAAAAAAACAAATAACTTAAAAGAAAAGATAGAACAAAAACAAATGACTCCTAACTTTTCCTCGCAAACCATCCCCTTACCGAAACTTAAGGAGTGTGTTTTAAAAGTGCATCAATATCGTTCCATGTCGCCCTCTCTACAGAAGGACCAATGGTGTAATTGATAACAGGAGAAACAAAAATGAGCCATTTCTCCTCCTGTCACTCTGATTTCCTGCAAGAGAAAAATCCTGCAGAAATATAAAGCTTAAAAGAATCTTCTCAACCTCACTTTGCATTTTTTTTTGCACCCCATACTTTTAGCACACTTTTTAATCCACTTTCCACCGGCTTTCTTTTACCCTCCACTTCTAGAAACACAGCTGTTCACTCTTAGACAACTTGCAAATCCTTGTGTTTTAAAAAACTATGAACGCTAAACCCCTTCCAAACAAACTATTTTACACTTATAACCGCTCCGACAACACAACACAGGTGGCCATGGTAAATTCAGACGCCACTCCAAGGAATCAACAGCTTTTGGAAACGGCAGCTCCACAACTCAGACCTGTTTCCTTTCACATCCTTCCTCTGTGAGCAGGCACAGCCCACTCACTCACCAGCACTCCTCTGCATAAATAATAAGCAGTGCTACAGGTGCACAGTATGATAGATGGAGCAGCTAGCTACGAATCCGCTCCCCTGCTTTAATTACTGCTATGTGGATTTCCAAGTAATGGAAATTGCCAGTAAAACTAAATTGATAACTACTAACTAAAGTTGGTTAAAGAGTTATAAATGCTGGCTAAATGTACATCATTCAATATATCTCATATATTTATGCAATTTTCAAGTATGAAAAATATGTTCAGGTTGCCGTTTTGACACCTAAGGCACTATCAAGTCTGTTTCTTTTCTTAAATAGCTTGTTTCGTTACAAGTTACATGTACAAAAATAGGTGAAAATAGACCCAAACCAGGTGTGAATGGGGCAAAAAAACAAAAAGGAGAAAAACTACTAATTTCTTATTTTCTAAAAGTTCATAGATTGTCACGCCATCGCTGAAGGGGGGTATTTTAAAATTGATACTGGCAGCTCATGCCCCCCTCTCTCCTCCCAGCCTCATGCTCCTGTCAGTTCATTGGTAAGCAGGCACGCGTTGGCCGAGTCAGGCGGCGATGGGAGCTCATAAGTTGACATCACGCACGTCCGTGGGGGTGCTGGACTGATCCTGCTGCTCCCTTGACTTGTTGCCGCCGCTGATGCCGGTCTCTGGCCCGTACTGCTGGCCCTGCTGCAGGCTGGAGGCCAGCACACGCTCGATTTGCTCCTGACACGCCCTCAAACAGTCCTGCAACAAAAGGGTCAAATGCGGTTACACATGCATGCCTCCAAGAAACGTTCCTAAATCTCCGGGCTAATTAAACACTTGCGGTGCGGTGACTCACAAAGTGTTTCCACATTTTTTCACATTAAAACCAATAACATCCATGAGAAACCAATCAGCAACAAGCATCATTCAAATGATGAAATTGCTCATTTTTTATTTGTTTAGATTAAATGTGACCTGGGCTCTAAAAAGGAATAAAATCCAAGAGTAAAAAGCTGTAGAGGGCAGGATCATGTAATTTTGTTCGGTGACAGCCTTAGAGGGTCATTAGAGAAAATTAGTGGTCAAACAGGATCATGGGCATGGAACAAAGAATACCGTTTGTGGATAAAGAATTCAGGTTAGGTTATAAAAAACGTTCAAAGCTTTAAACATCACAGAGAGGTCTCTTTAATCCAGCTGAACACGGGAAGAGCTCAACAGAACCACAAACCTACCAAATCAAGTCTGTTCATCTAAACCAAAAGGCTGGGAAAGAAACGGCCGACAAGACATGAGAACTTTAGATGCCTTTATGGAGGAGATGAACGGAAAAAAACGGTTGCTTTAAGCCAGTTTCTGTGTTCAAACAACAACAGGATCTCTGCTGTGCTACATAGTGGTTATTAGGGGTGTAAATCACATCCATCATCGCGATTCGATCCAGTTTCGATTTCCTGACCCAACGATTCGATTATTTTTGATACTCAAGAATACACCACGATAAGATTCAAATAATTGGTTCTTTTTTTTTTTTTTTTACACCTTATAGTCTAGACAATGTTTCAAATTTGAAATAAATCAAAGAAAGCTGTAATATCGTTATGCATTTTTGTTTTTAGAAACAGCAAATAACAGAAGTAGAAAAAGTTGCACTCCATCTATTCCTATTAAAACCTCATTCACTGAAAAAAAATAATACCCCTGCGTTATAGATTCTGAAAGGCTTTGCATCAAAAAATACTGCACAAAATCAGTGCAATGAGTGCAATGCAATACCTGGGCTCCAGACGTCCCGCCCCCTCCACAGACGCTCCGCTGCTCCTCTCCCAAATTGTAGCAGTGCCGCAGACAGGAGGCCGGCTTGTTTTGTTTTTATGACCGAAATCGCGGAAAACAAACCAGGAAGTTTGACCCGCTAGAAGAGCGAGGTGCACGAGAACGCTGGGACCCTTTTTCCACCTGGATCTCTGCTCTTTTTGGCCCTCATGTCCCTCCGTCGTTGGACTAAACTCGCCCCCACTTCCTCGCCGCCTCGGCCGTATCTAGACTCACAGCGTGTAGCACAGACCACGCTTCAATATTGAGCAAAAATCAAAAATGTCTGTGTCAAGCTCACTGCAACACACTGCTGTAAGAGTATAACCAGGAAACGGGGTAGGAGGGCAAAATAGGTTTAGCGCCACCGCAGCACGGGAGGAGAATTACGCCCAGGAGCAAATGGATAAAAATACACTGGAGAAAAAAAACAAAAAAAACATGAATCCATACTCTTGCGGACGTATCGATGCATCGGAACGTCGGCTGTTGGATCGATACAAAACGATTTTTATTTACACCCCTAGTGGTGGCAGCATAATGCTGCGGGATGCTGCTTTAAATACAAGCCAATCATGTGAGACGAGCTGAACAAACACAAACAGACTGAGGCAAAAACACAAGACCAAAGCTACAATGAGCATCATGATGTGTTTGAACGGCCTAGTCAAAGTCCATCACTAAACCTAAATGTCACAGACATGCTTCTAAGGTTGGAAATGAAATACCCTTAAAGTCTCCCCTCTAAATGCATCTAAAATTAAATAAAATGCACACAACACCTTTTAGATTATTCATAAACAATTAGTAATTGTCTCTTACACTCCAGGATTACACAAAACCCAATTTCAGTCTGTAAGATAAAATAACATAAAGAGAAAAAGAAAAGGGAGATTATCAAGTAAAAAAATGAAGGAAAAAAGAATTTAAGTAAAAAAAAAAGAAAAAACGTACTAGAGTTAGTTTTGTAGATATCTGAGGAAACATGAAGATGATTAAAGACGAACTGGAGGCGCTCGTTCTGCACACCTTTTGCTCCATTTGTCATGCAGACTGTTAAACTTTTTTAATCACATGCTTGGCATACCGGAGGGGAATTATATGTCTTGATGTAGGTGGTCCCGCCTGCATTTTGAGCAGAACAAAGAGTACCAGTGCGCTCCCAACACCAACAACAGAGTAGCAAAGCGGGAACAGGAATCCTCTCCCAGGCTGGATGCATGTTCATGCGGGCCAAGGGTCCCAGGAGGCAAGTCGCGGGTCCTGAAAGGGCTCTGGGGTCCGTCAGGCAACAGATAAGCAGACCTAAACCTATGCATACCCTTCCTCCAACAAAAAATGTTTGGGCTCAGAGCACGGACAATCTCACATAGAGGCCAAGAGGAAATGGCTTTGACCTACTGCACCCTGACCCCTCTGAGTTTCAGCCTAAAACATAACACAGGACAGTGGGACCGGATGTTTTTGGAAAGAGGATCCTTTCTCCATCCTCCACCCTCCCCCAGCAGGTCTGTGCTGAAGATGTGGGAGGTCTGCCTCCCTGAGCCGAATGCAGAACCCTTAAAGAATGAGCCAAAGCTCGCAAAAAAAAAAAAAAAAAAAGAAAGAAAGAAAAAAGGCCGACATTCCTTTAAAATGTAGGAATAATTGGAACCTGATGGGCTGCAGTCAGGGGATCTTGTTATGACGGCCATGTTGGGGGGCCCACGTAACCATAGTAACCCAACCACAAACTGGGAGGCTGTGTTTGTGTTGATTTTAACATTGTTTAGAGCTAAATATTGTTAAAAGAAAACAATCCGAGTGATATATGTGGGACTACATATTCAATTAAACTTCTACTTGCATTCCTTAAAGGTCAGGTCTGCCCCATTATTAAATTTATTTAGTAAGAGCAGTAGAGAGCCCAAAATGTCTCTGAATCTCAGATGAGAGGAGGACTTAATTACAGACTCCATTTTCCAAACTTCTTGCTTCTTTTTGACCCGTTTTCAAGCATGAATACAAAAGTCTGCTTAATTTCTGCAGCAGTCAGGCTTTAAATGGACAAAGATGGAGGGAGGAAAAGTCAAACGGTGTGAGAAAGCAGTGAAGATGTCACCTTCACCAATGAGCTAAAAAGCAGCTGATGTTTTTATTTATGCAGATATGACAGTTTGGAGAACATGGACTGAGAGCCTCTTCCTCCACCAGGAGGGGTCCACAGCTAAAGCAGGAGGCATGCACAGAAACTGCATGTGTCCCGCCACAAGAATGTGGGCTCTGAGTTTTAAGAAGACATTCCCCCCTAGCTACCCAACCAAGAACCAAAAGGCTCTCTCCCTCCTTCGCTCCACGAAGAGCAAATAGCTTCAGTCTGCTGCGAACAAAGTCGTCAGCGTTGTTTACAGAGGAGCGCTTTACACAGCTTGCGTGCGATATTGCAATCCTGGCTGAGAAGCGTTTCGGTGCAACCACTCACAACTTCAGTGTTGGTGATCTTAGCCAGCAGGTTCGTCAGGTTGTCTCGATTCAGCCTCTGGTCACTGTGGTCCAGCTGCAGTCCGCAGATGGCAGCTGCCATGCTGCCGGTGGCGATCATGGAGGGAGGGTTCATGGCGAGGCGGTCATCTGCCGAACGAAGACAACGAAAGAGGCGGTTCAAAGAGCAGGAGTGACAGCATCTGTCTGTGCACGGCAGGTGGAAATAGCTGAACCGTCTCCGGTCCGTACGCTGCCAGGCAATCCAGATTTTATTTTTTTTTTTTCCCACAGTCTGGATCTGAAAAGACGTAGCTACAACAAACCTGTGTGGGTTTTCCCTCCTCAGAAACCTCAGCTCTGATTGCAAAAGCAGAGCAGGAAATTTCTCCCACTCGCTGCGCAATGAGCTACAGGCACAACTCTCCCGAGTCCACATGTGAGTCTGAGAATCTTCAGCTACAGGCGGACCTGGATGGATGAAGTGCAATCCCTCCTCAGCTTATTCAAACCTAAAACTATTTGAGGTTTCTCTTATGCAATCCTGACCCTCCTGGCTCAGTACTCCTCCTATTAGAGGACATTAGTGTTTTTTAAACAAAAAAAACAAAAACAATGTATGCTTTTCCTTTCACTTCAAGGATACTTTTTAATAAATCTGTCCAAAAAAGGACATTAGAGCTCCTGCAACATGAGTTAAACGGGTCGGAAGGGGTGTGAATACTTGTGCAAGCCTCTGTAACAGCGGTTCCTTCCACATCTTATTGCTGCATACAGACAATCTGACTTTTATGTCAGCAGGTCCGTACTTCTCTACTTCTTGTTTGGCGTCAAAACATTTTTCTGTCCATGAAAAGTGAAAATATAAAGAAAATATTGGAAGTTTAACACAAGCAAAGTACCTGCAGCAAAGCAAGGAAACAATCAAAGTTCCTCTGCAGCCGTGGTGGGATGATAGCTTTAATTAAACCCTTCTACAACCATCCTGTCCTCAAGGGACCAGCTGTCCGTATAGGAGGAGCTCCGCCGATATAAGAATAACATCTCCACTCTGTATAAAACTCCAAACATTTACATTACAGCTAAACCGCAGCAGGCTTCCCCTTTTTTTTACCCTCGCTGCGGCTGCTTCATGCTTTGATATGAGCAGCTGCTTATGAATAGCAGAAGCAACCGCCGAAACACACCCAAATGCAAAAAGAAGTGTCACAAAACTGTGCAGAGAATCAAGCTGGGAATGAAGCTTGTTACAGCGACATGCGTCTGCTCCGACTGCCCTGATCCGACCACGCTGATGCCTGTGGGATTTTAATTGCACAGAAGTCACCTTCCTGTTTTGTTTCCTTCATTGAAATTAGCAGGAGAGCCGTCCTGTGACAGACTCCTACATATTATGTCTGCTGGACAATCATGTGGCAGCATTTCTGTCCAGGATATGAAAATATTAGAGGGATTCCTAGTATAGGCAAAGGAATCCCTTGAAAACATAAAGGAAAGGCCTGAGGGGACAAGCTCCCCCTTAGCTTTCAGTTTATTTTGGACATGAGGCCAGGATGGGAGGAGGAAGGAAGATCAGCCTGACTCTAAACCTTGAAGCTTCCCCGACAACAAACAATAAAGGACGACCAGCGCAGGAGCAGCTCTACATTACAGTACAGTAGAATAATTAACAGTTAGCGCTACTAATCCAGAGACATCAGATAAAAGATTCGTGGAAAAAAACATGGCAGAGTGCTTTAAATGCTTTAAATGGCTGTGAAGAAGTGATTGAGGGGGTTTTCTAGAGAGACGAGGAAGATGAATCAGCCTGCAGAGACGAAAGTCGTCACAGATGACTCAGTCTGGGGGAATGTTCACATGTGTGGGAATATTTGGTCGAAGGAGGAATGAAAAAGCAGCAAACTGAACCTGCAAAACAAAAAATGTGCAATAAAAGGCAAAGGAGCAGATTTTTTACCTGTGGCACAGAGGGCGATGAATGTCAGCGTGTGTTTACGGACCATCGCCTGCTTGTCTTTGGGAAGGGGCAGCCGGCGCATGATGTGCTCTATAAAGTCATTGGGGATGACTGAGGCCATGTTCCACTTCAATTTCCCCAGGACAACCAGTTCCCAATCCTAAAGCATTAAAGAAAAAACACAAGTCTGTTTGTTAAAAACTGTGATTCTAGACAAAAAAAAAAACACCCATGTACTGCCATGACTTCATCTGCCATAAAAAAGATCACAGCTGCTCTTTATTCCCAGAGGAAACGACTCCGTAAGAAGAGTAACTTTTCTTCAGTTTATATCTCCTCACTGTATCTTATTATCTACATGCCTTTCTCATTCCCAGCATCCTTTGTGTTCATATCGCCAGCATGTGACAAGCTTTGCCCTCTTCAGAGGCCCTGCCAATAGACGGCAACCCTCCTAGCTTCCTGTCACAAGCCTCAAACAGCTACAAGTTCACACTGCACAAGCAACAGTCAGCCTTTGTAGAAAGCAAAACAGGTCTTTGCATTTTCACCTTTTAATTTCCTGTGTTTCCATATCATTGCAGTCATAGCTGCAGTTAGTTATCTACTAATCATCTCTTGTTATACCTTCGGTATCAAGTCAATAAAAGGCTAGTTATTAACGAGGATCTTCACATTTCTTCACATTAATGACAACCTTTGTATTAAATCGTTGTATGTGATCTATTTTTGCCATTGACTTTAAATAAAAAACACATCGATTTGAATGGACTTTCAATCAATGATTTATATCTTTACTCTTTAACTGGAGTGGATCTGATATCTTACACCAAACGGAAATTGCGTATTATGAAGGAAAAGCATTGAGCTTGGTACAAAAAGCAAGCTTCATCTACATGCATCGCCCAAACGGCAACCTAGTCAGATTTTATATGCAGGTAAAGTCATGCTTTAGGACCAATTCACAGTTTCAAGCTGCCTTAAACATCGAGCCATTGTTTTAGGCTACAGATTCAAAAGCTTAAATTTAATGACAGATTGTGACTTTTTGAAATTTCTACACCAGCTGCTAACTGCTTGCATTCATAGGCTTTCAGACGAATGGCACTCTGATGGCATAGTATATTCCATTTCTTTGTTGGTAAACAAGCAGATTCATATTTAACATAACATGTCATTATAGGTAAGATGACACAAAGCGACTTCCAGGTGAGGTAAAAAAATGTATAAAATGTTTCAATCCAAAAAGGATAAGAGATGAGCAGAGCTTGTGGTAGAATAAGGGCGCTTGGGATGACCACTGCCAGCAGAGGGCGACGATGTGCATCTCTGCTGAACCCGCCTGATGCAAGAATTGCTTCCATGCTTGAAAATGACAAGGTAAACACTCAGTATGACCGCTTTGTTAATTTTAACAAACTTTTATGTTTTGGTGTAGGTGGGGTACGTTATTGACCCCTTTATCACACAGACCAACCTAATCGTCTTTCCTTAAAAAAAAATCTGTTTTTTGCCTTCATTTCTTATTTTTCCATGGTGTCACAAATGCAAAAACAAAACAAAAAAGCACTAATAATTTATTTGAACGTTTAGATTAAACTGTTTCATTTATTGATCCATAACCTGCACAGTTCTCAAATCGGTTAAAATTAGATTTTTATCAATTTCAGGCCTGTTTCTCCTAAAGTCTAAGACTCTCCACATCTAACACAGAGGATGAAAATGTATATAATTCTATTTCTTTGCACAGACAAAAAGGTGATCAAAATTAATCAGTTAGGAAAAACCTGTGGTCTCAAAGTTTAATTGGAGAGGCAGAAACATCTCATCTATTGTAATAAAGATAAAGTTGGCTGGCTAATATCAGTCCATAAATAATCCCAGGTTTAAGGTAATGGCAAGTCTGAGCTTAGAGCTATCCAGTCCTAGCCTTGTGAGACCATCCTGATCTCGCGAGCTTTCAAGGTTTCACTCGCAGATCAGTCTGGAGACTCTCCATTAAAGAAAATTTGGAGCCGTTCACCAAACGAACGTCCAATCAGCGTTGGCTTTGAGGCGGGTTGAGGTGTGACGCAACGAGAAGAGCGACAGTTCGGTCTAAAGAACATGGCAGCTTCAGCCGATGAAACTAGCGTTAGCGTGGCTATCGAGCAAGTTTTATCGGAATTACAGAGTATTTCTTCACTGAAAGAAGAGCAAAACACTGCTCTGGAGGCTGATCTATCAATTGTCTCCTCTTTGTCGTCGCTCTGTTAGTACGTCATATGCTTCGTTGATCTGATTGGTTTATTTGGCCCGTCTATCGCCAACATAGGCCAATCAGCTAACCAGTATTTTCGCCCCTTCCCAAAATTACTTCAACGGAAGGTTTCCAGATGGATATGCGGACCAAATCCATCTGGCGGAGTCAGGTTAATCCAGTCCTGGAGGGCTATCATTCGGAGAGTTTTAGAAGAATCTCCTTTCAAACACAACTTCATGCAAAGGCTGAATTTCCTCAGTATGTCTTTCCGGAAACCAGCCACTCATTTGGTTAAGAAGTGTTGGAGGAGGGATGCATCTAAAACGTAATAGGGTGGTGGCTCTCCTGGGCTGGATTATACTACAAACAAGATGGCAGCATGTCCATCCTTTACATGGTGTCTGCTCTTCTTTGGTCTTTAAATTAAATCTATTTAAATTTTTCTTCCAACCTATCATTATGCCTTAGAAGGTTAAAAATAGAACATTTTAAAAAAAATCAATGACTTTCTGAGGATGTTTTGGATCACATTGGGTTCCTAACATTCTCTACTTTTCATGACTTTGGAGAGTTGTAGATAATCTTTTTTTTGTGTGTTCCAAGGTGAGCACACCTGCTAAGATGCTAAACCAGGACGTTACTCCTGAAACCACTTGTACTTTGACTATTGAACAATCTGTACAACCAAAATATTAGCTGGCATTCGATGTTAATCCTTCACCCTGAACCCGTTATCCCTGCACAGATTTAGGAGATGCTGCTTGGTGTCATGATCCCTGTTGCCCTCTAACCAGAGTCTGAAAAAAAACAACCTGCTGGTTGCCGCTCTGTGACGCTCTTTATGCAAATATCTGGATTCATCTGCAGCTGCTAAGTCTAAAAAGTGAAACCCAACTTGTATCACTTTGAACTGCTGGCTATAAATGTTCAAACCTAGTAAATCTACAACCATGATGGTGATCTGTATTTGTGTTCCCAAGTTGTCAAGCATTCATTACCCAAGTTCCCATATCAAGCTATACTAAGGTATTAAAGATTTACAGTTTTACAAGCAGTTATCCATCATCTGACCTCTGCAGCTATACGGAACAGAGTCCCGTACCCCTCCCCCTTCCTGTGGATGTGCAATCATGGTCGGCTGCAGACTGACCTGTTCATCCACTATTAGCAGCTTTATTAACTCAAAAGTACACTTTGTTTAACAAATGTTTTCCCCCTAAATCTATGCCAACAAAAAAAAAAAAAAAAACACAATATAGAATATCTGTTTGTTGAAAATAAATGCTACTAAATCCTATTTAATATTTAAAAATCAAAAAAAAAAAAACCAAAACAGATAGGTTGCAGTGTTTGTAATGAAGGACATTATACCTTTAAATTTTCCCCACATCACATTCTTAAATCTTTGATTTCAAAACCAATATGGCTGCTGTGCTCATAGAGCACGGTGAGAGATGCAAGAGAAAGTGTTTCACACGTTTATAATTCATAATAATGAAACTTAAATTGTATTTATGGTTTTCTTTTGGCTATAGATTCAATATATCATTTGTTTTTTATAAAGAGGTGCGGTGATATAGGAGTTAACTTAAAACTGATGCATTTCAATGCTGGAAATTTAAATTTCCCATTACCGGTAAATTAGCTCTGAGTGCAATACACCATCATAAGACAGGAGAAGCTGTGTGATTGTCTTGATGAAGATTTGTAATGTTTAAATGCTGTTTAAAAAAGAAAAGAAAAAAAAGAGAAAAGGTCCCGTCTATTGGTTTTAGTAGTTCTAAAGGCTAAAAGTAGACAAACATCTTCAGAACATCCTAATCCAGGATGGCTAATTAGCAGCACAAGAAATCCAAAAAGAAAAACATTTTAATCTAATTTAGTAAAATCTGAAATATATTTAAAAACAAACTGCACAGCTAAATCCAGACAAAACTATTCAACATTTAAACATGGTGACATAAAAAAAAACAAAAAAAACAGATGACTGTAACTTCTCATTTCCTCTACGGTAAAGCTAATCCCCTACAATGCAAACGTAGTGAGCATTGAAACCCCAACACCAGTTAGGGACCGTCCCCCACCGGCTTTCTACCAAAAAGGCCTTTATCATCTCGGACGCCGGTAACCAGTCACACTTGCTTGGGTTTCCTGTGCATAACCCAAATCTTACGAGCTTATGTTAAAAGGAAGATCATTGATAGTAAGATGAGAAGTGAAGATCGTCTGCTCACTTCCTGAATACTGAAAACAGTCCTGACAACCTTTGCTTTAATCTGTCCTGTTTTAAAGGCCGTAACATGTTAAACATCCAACAATTTATATTTCCTGATGATTAATAATGCACAAAAGATTGAAAATACTCACCTCTTAGCATTCCTCATGCTAAAACTAAACGGGAAACAGCTGAAACCCTGATAAATAATGATATCTCTATCTTGTACTGCATTGTTAGCACTAGATGGCATCACAAACCCCTGCAGTCCACGTGAACCCAAAGCACAGACGTGGCTGTGTTGTTGCACAGTTTCGCTTGTGATGAAAATTGGATACTTCCTGTGAGACTAATTCAGCTATTAGCATTATAAAATCCTCCAAAAAAAGAATGTGACGCAGCATTTTCAAAGGCTCACATGAATGCATGAATGACTGAAGGAAACCTTGGTTCTTACCAGCAGCTCTCGTGGTGTGATGGAGTTGTCTGTGTAAACGCAGAGCTTCTCTGCTGATAGAGGCCTGCAGTCCTTCAGCTTGGCAGCCAGGAAGATGCACACAGCACCCAAAAGCTGCAAATAGTTTTTTCTTGTGGGCATGGTTGCTAAAAATCTGTCCAAATAATTAATGGCTAAAGGGAAGACATCTTGGTTGGTGTTTTCCTCCTCACAAACCTGCATAACAGACATTTAATAGAGAAAAAGATCCATTTGTTTAATCTAAAAGGAAAGTTCATTAACAAGCTTTTAAATTCTTAGAAAAAGACGTTAAAAGCTTGGTTGATTTTTTATTTTTTTTAATTGCACAAAATAAACCGTAGAGAAGTTTAACACAGTGGTTCACATGTTTAGAAAATGTTTCCCTAAAAATTTCCAGGGGAAAACGTCTCCATTGTTACTGGTCTACTGGGTCAGCTGAACTAGTTTTCTATAAGTTGCTTATAGTTCAGGTATGGCAAATGAGCTGAAAAATTACCAAGAAGTCACATGTCATGGTTTACATTTATATTCATTAAAAGGAATTATTTTTCAAAGAACTAACATAAAAGTGAGCTGTTAATGTGGTTGACAGTCCATCATTCACATTCCTCAAAACAACATTTCAGTTTTGCTAATAGAATTAACTGGTCCTCCCTTTAAATACTTCAGGTTAAGCTTGTCTGAGATGCAGCTTTCGTTTTAATGACATTAAGCCTTTCATCAGATTCCCCGCCAACATATTTCCAACGTCTTCCTAATGCTAAAGTTTGGTAATATTGTTGAGTTCAATTTCCTGATTGGTCAGTTACTGGAGCCTCAGATATCCAAATTTAGACTTATGCAACAAAATGTGGTTAGTCTAAATTATAGAAGTGAAGCTTATTTTAATAATTATTTAATTAGGGTGTAATTACGCTGACAACCACCAGGGGCAGACTAAGTTATTGGTAAATAAACGTTTACAACTTGAATGTTCAAAGAAATGGGGACACGTGACTTGGCCTCTTTAAATATTCACGACTAATATATTAATGACTTATAATTCAAGGCACTTTGCAGAAGATTCGTAATTTCTTTGAAAAAGAATGGCTAAGGTTTATTTTCCATTATCTAGGAAATAATCTAAATACTGCCTTCTGAAAAAATAATATACATTAAATTACACATAAAAAAAAACAGGCTAACTTCCAGAATTTGTTACCAAACAAACAGAATGTAGATTTTTTGAACTTCAAAAAATAATGACAAGTTATTGATGAGCTTGGATAAAGTCTATTTGTTTTCTTTTAAGATATTTCGATATGCATCGTGGGTTTTTATCTTGAAAGAGTACGCAGTGACGTCATGAGGTGCAGGCTGATAGTGAAAGTTGTGTCGCAGTGAATCTGGTGAATGCAAGGTTTTTAAAGTTAGAAAATAATTATAAAAAAATAAAAATATGATTATTCGTTTTTACCACTAAAGAAAATATAGAAAATGGGTCAAATTTCGATGTAGTTCTGCATTTCAAAACTAAATAACTTGTTTAATTTTAGAGCGTTAAATGCATCAAAACGTGTTTGCTCTTTAGAGAAAAAAAGCAGGCCTAGGTGGCTTTGTGAGCAGGGACATAGTTTCTTTCCCTTTTAGTGCCTTTTATTGGCTTATTTTTTTGCACCAATTCACTGAATGAAAAGCAAAAGAATTAAGCAAATGATCTAAGTAGGAAGTCCTTCTGCAACTCCCTTCTCGTTTTTTCTAATCCTCTTCCTCGTTGGCGATTGATTCATTAATGAAAGTTATTCGAAACTTTTTTAGATGCATATAAACTGCCTCATAAAACACTTTGCAAAAGTAGCATGTGATGAAATGTTAATACTTTGTAGATATTTGTATTCACTAAAAAGAGAGCGCCTCTGTCTGCTTCTGGTTTCAAAGCTGAGTCGCTTTTTCAAAAATCTGTAAAAATTAGTAAAAAATTAAAAATCCCAAATTTTCGACTATGTAAATTAAGACAAACTTGTTAGATATCGTCTGATCACGTTTTGAAGCAAATCAGACATACAGATTGGCTTTAAATTGATGTAAATAAATGGCTAAGCACATTGAGGCAGATTTTTCTCCTGGGTGGAATTTCCGACTCCCCCACGCCTTTGGTGAGTCACTCTCATTCAATTGTAAAATAGGTTAACAACCAGAACAGCTTTTCTTTGAACTTATCCCTCAGTTAAAACCACTTTTAGCATAAATATAAAACATGCAAACAAACGGGACAGAAGTTAAGCAGGCAGAACTTTCCTACAAACCTCATGCATCCAGTCTGCAACCATTTTTCTCATATAAGGCTGAATGTCCTTCTGGACCCGCTGGAAATACGAACACTGAGGTAAAAAACTCTCCTCGATAGTTAATAAACTCTGCAGCACTCTGTCATCATAGAGGATGTTTGGGTCAGGCTTGGCTTTCACGGCTGTGTCCGACTCCATGCAATACAACCCCATGACCAGGGCTCCCTTCTCTTCTTCCCCCATTTCTCTAAACTTTTTTCTAACTAAAGTTATACAAATAATATATATATATATATAAATAAATATCACAATGACTTCACCAGCCAACTGGAGGAGTAAAAGTCCCCGAGACGAAGCATGAGGCTGAGGCAACGAGGTTCACTCCCGACCTGCTGCCTCTCGGGTCTGCTCCTTCCTCTAGGCAGCTGAGGCAGCTAACTACGACACAACATCCGGCATCTTCAAAATAAAAGCCCCGGCATTTAAAGTATTGTGTTTGATCATACAATAGAAAATAAAAGAATTAAATAGAAACAGACACACACATACAAGCGCAAAAGAATAGGGGTTCACAATTAATTTAAAATATGAAAGAGCAAAAATATTTCAATATAACCATGTTAAATTAAGGTCAAAATGTATATTTAATAAAACATTAATCCACCAACACATATGGGTAAATAAAATTAACAATGTAATAATAAGGAATAATAAAACAATGAAAACAAGACAGAAAAAGATACAATGAAGTTTTAAGATACATTTTTTGCTTTTAAATATAGTTAAATAAAATGTTAAGCAGAAAAAAAAACATAAAAAAAAATAGATATGAAACAAAATAAACAGGATAAAATAATCAGAAAATTAAATGCCATTAAATTTACCTTATTGCATTTAAAGTGCATAAAGTGGGCCTCCAGTGTGTTATTTTAATTGAACAATTTAAATTTTTTATTTTTAGCTGAGCAATTTTACATTTGCAATATCTGTCTTAAATTTATTCTTTAGGCTTTTATCATCATAGCCTTACGTTTAGGTTTAATAAAGCTCACTCAGACACGCCTCCATAGCAAGTCATCCTGTCCTCTGCCACCTCATCAGCATCGGCTTCAGGCATTGCTACAAGCCTGATAAATTGCTAGCACAGTGCTCTCCATAAAGCCTCTCTAAAACTGGTGACAAAAACATGAAAAATTCTCAGCTTCTTGATCTGTCTGTGGTGTAGCTACCAGCATTCTTCTGCTCACTCTTCATACTTCAATAAGGCTTCACTCAGATAGGACAGGCTAGCTGCTACTTTCCCTGGCAACCCCCTCGCTAAACCCAATTGGATAACAGCTCCAACTATGCTTCTACTACAATGTATAATGCAACAGCACCAACTGTTTGTTTAAGCTAATTTTGTTTTATAGTAGATTTTTTTCTAAACAATTGTGTACAGTGGTTGTGTGCGTAAAAACAACAGATTTTTATAAAGCATCAGTGAGCTAATTCTGATGATTTCCCAAAAATGAAACGGTTACTTTTTTCATGGCTTTTCAAAACCCATTACACTTTTAAGTTGTCTGAAATTTGCTAAAGCCAGGTGTTGCACGCAGCTACAGCTCACACTGTATGACGAAACCGCAGGCTTTCATCATACAGTGTGAGTTCACAGCTCACAATGGATGTTCTCATACTGTGTGACCCGACGCTCTGATGCGATCTACCTGCTCACACTGTATGTCTAAAAACGTCAGACTTAGCTCCGCAGTGAGATGGCGCTACTCGGAATCATCTATCCAGAAGCCAAAATAGTAGAAGAGGAATATGAAGCTCACTAGAGTGAAACGTGCTGCCTTTGCAATTTGTGCAATTTTGTTCTGAAAGCCCTAAAAAGAAAAGGCGACAATGTATTTGGACAAAGACATGGCTGAGCAAACATGGCTACTACGGTCTGTCAATTTTAAAAAAAGAAGTCCATTTTACTCATTGAACCCCTGCCATGCTTCTGTGTTTTCATCTGAGAGGAAGAAGAAGAAGAAGAATCCTTGTTTGCCCACTGAGCGATTTGCTCACAACAGCTGGCTACATTTCAAACATGTTTGATATTCTCCTGACCTCAAGATTGGTCGTGGGACGCTGATCGCCCCCCTCGACAACGACGATCAAGCTGAAAGTAGGCCCGATTGAAAAATTCTTGCACAACTGGAAAGTCATAATCGATCTGTGTATGCCCGGCTTAAGTAAGCGACTTTAGCAAATGCATTACCTTTAACAAGACAGACCCAGAACAGAGGTCTTCTTTACACTGATGTTCTAAATGATTTACAGATATGCAAACCATCGGAAATGCAAAATAACTGTTGCAGCTATCTGTAAGAGTATGGCAGCCATATTGGATTTTGAGTTGGTGCAAGTGAAAAATCTTCTCAAGCTGCAATCCACACTGACCCGCCAACTTAAACCGTTTAACAATTGGTTTGTGACTCGCTGAAATATTTGAAGTTTTCCAACTTGCAGTCTAAATTGTTTTAGTTGGGTAATACCAGGATTGACTTCCAAGGAAATGAATGATCTTTAAAATTATTGCATTTAAGTAAACAAATTAAATATGAGTTTGTAATATTTACCAGTTGACAAGAACACACTTTTGAAGTTCAGCTGAAATCTCTCATTAGGATGTTTTTCAGTGATTGTCAAAGGTAAAAAAAAAAAAATAGTTTAGGAGAAACCAAACCGAAGAAACTCTCACTGTCCATGCAGCACTTTGTTTTTTATTTTCTCAGGACATTGATTGGTCAGAAAGTGTACAAATACTTCTTATCTAAAAGCCCAACCTGCTCTGGAAGAGGACATGCAAATACTTTGGAGTTAATTATTGACTTGATTTGCTTCTCCTGCACTTGACATTTGTAGCCAATATAACTTAACTTTCAGAGTACAAAACTTCAAACTAATGAGTAATTGTAAACGGCTAATAGCGTAATTATATTTGCACCTGAGCCAAACTGCATCAAAGGGACAATGCTTTGATCATAGATTAATTATTTCATGTATTATTCCCAATATGTAGAACTAAAGCTATTTGTCAATAAGCTTGGTAATCTCCCTCCAAATGGGCACAAATATTTGGTGCATAAATCAAAAGACTGTGTTTGTGTCTTCATAAAGTATAAGTGTTGACAAGCTATGACAAAAGGTAGGTTCACACTGAAGATTTATGCAGAGACTGCAACGGGTGATTTCAATTTTATCCCTATGAAAGGCACATGCAGGAGTGACTTAACGGTCATCGATGCAGAGACTAAGTTTCAAGTACATATTTTATTGATCACAGTAAAGCTGCACTGCAAGTACAGGTATGGTGAAAGGACAGACAGATTGAAGTAACACTTGTAAAAGCTGAAAAATCCGAACTTCTGAGCTTGGTTCTGCTGGAGGTTTCTTCCCGTTAAAAGGGAGTTTTTCTTCTCCACTGTCGCTACAAGCATGCTTGGTATGAGGCATTGCTGAAGAGTCAATGGGTTGACGCAATCAACTGGTTTTGCTTAGATAGAAAACTTTGAATCAATTTGACTGGATGATCTGGTTGAATTGTTTGTAAAGTGCCTTGTGATGACATATTTATGTGAACTGGTGCTATATAAATAAAATGAATCGAATTGAATTAATTTGCCTCTGCTAATCATTAAGGGGACTTGATGTGGTTTTAATATGGGTTAAAAAAAGGCAAAAAGGGACGAGGATTAACTGGCATCAGTTGTAAAGATGACAAAAAACATTAGAGCTGTAACAAACAAGTATTTTAGTAAATTATTATTCTATCGGTTATTGTCACGGATAATGGAGCAATGAAAAAAGGACATTCTGCATATTGTTAACTTATTGCTTAAGGTTCTTTTATGAATAATAGGAATACGTTCAAAGTGCAAATAATTCATACCTTATCAACAAGAAAATAAGTGAAAATGGTCATAAAATAGGAAGTACGTAAAGTTTCACTTGCATATTGTGGAACAAACTTTTTGTTTTTGGTCCATCAAAAAGGTAAACAGATTTATTGCTATGATTGATATGATCCCTCACTCTGCCCCATCAAAACAAATTTCTCCCGATACAAAGGTTGGGGGCAAGAAGTGAGTAAGAACTGATCGGCATTAAGATTTAAAACTCACCATACTCTCCTTTTTACCCATTGCTGTCACCCTTCATTGTTGATAACCACACTTGGCATCCATATATCAGCAGGGTGAGCGATTATTACTGGGGGCAAGCCGCCAGTAAAACAGTGCATTTAATGTTAAATGAAGCATCCAGACAAATAACTTGACTCAAATATCCAATTATCCAAATCTTTGAATCATTCAAGGAATCGTTACGCCCCTAATGAATGTTGGCTTAAACTATTCAATTAAGGTTTAAAGATGAGGGAGGATGCTTGCATGCCAACATTTGTTGAATATTCATGATTTCCTAATTATATTAATTAGACATCTATCCTGCACAATTCAACTGAAAAAACAAAAAACCAAAAACACATTTTTGCATAAATCTTTCCGTAAAAGTTCAAAGAAAAAAAATCCACTGGACTTGGTTTCCAAGGTTCAAATCTTGGAAACCAAGTCCAGTGTACGGAATGACTATGACCTGGATGACTGAGAATCTTCATCAGCATTTTGCATAAATCCTAACATTCTATAACTTTATAGAAACTCTTCTGGATCACAGCTTAGAATTAAGATTGTTCAGTTCCCTTCTAACCTGGCCAGCCATTTTGGTCATGTGTAGCTGACAGGTTTAGTTCTACACATCATCAATCCAGGATTTCCCCCAATCGAATCTGTTCAGAGAACATTGAGCAGAACTCTCTGAGCTAATTGGGTGAAGCGACACCTAGTGCCTGCCTCCCAAAATTTTATTTTAACGAATCACGGTAACAAATCCAAAAGCCGTCAGATGCCATGAGAAACCACACCTCACTCGACCCAAAACGAAAGCGAGAGCTGCCGAGTCCCAGCTAAACCAAAAAGGACGTGGATCCTGACAAAACAGACATGATCACAGGGGCTAGGTGGACATCCTCTTGAACTGCCATGTTTATTTTGGTTCAGCTGTCGACTTGGAAGCTCTCACTTTCGTTTTGTGTCGAAGTGAGTACAAGTTGGATTGTTCTGTATTTGTGAACAGTCCAATACGGAGAGTTAAGCCTACAGGCAAGATCAGATCACCTCCTCCATTGACTTGAATAAATCAACCTTACCTGATAAACATTAAAGCAAAACTGTATTTGAGAAAAAAACCCTAATAGCTTCATTAATGGTAGTACGGTGGCCAGACAAAAAGCTTTTATTTCAAATAAAATGTTTAAAATGTTCAGAGAAAATTAGTTATGGTTGAAGGAAAGAAGTCACAATTTTAAAGAGCATCTTGGGCTTATTAAAAACA